CAACCGCGTGGCGAACCGCGTGGCGACCGTACAAAAATTGCACGAGATAAGAAAACTTGTTTGTTTATAAACACTGATACATTCAGTGTGGTAATGCAGAACATGAAAAGAATTGTACTCGTACAATGCATGAAACTTTTAATTTCGATTAAATTATGAATCGGACACCAGTAACAAAATTATAGATTAAAGCCTTATTGGCCTGTAAACACCAATTTTTTTTAAATTAACATTGTAAATAGGCAATGTTTGGATAATAAGTACTTTAACAGTTCTTTTAATTCTACATCGATTATTTTAGTAATTTTTTTTCCTAATATTAACCATTTAGGCCCTATTTGCAAATTTTAGTGAAAACTGTATTCGACAAAAGAAAGGCAAAAGATTTCTCTTTCTTAGTTTCGGAATAAAAAATGGTATTCTAATAGTGGTGGGTAGTGGGTTTTGCCGCAAAAGAATTAAGAACGGAACCGACGGCACACGACAAACGACAATCTTAATCTTTTTCATTTGTACATTAAACGAAAACAAAACAATGTATCGAATACGTATAGCAAATCAACGGTATGTAAACAGAGACAAAAATGATTTGTGTGGAAAGACCGCGCGGTTGAAATAAAAACCAGTTAAGTCAATAATGGATTTGATTTTCATATGGCTGAAGAAATGCGAGAACATACCTTGATGCAAAATAAATTTTTGCGCGTTTGGAATATCCAAAGAAAATACGAAATAAATACACATTCCGCGCTTAACGAACGCCACACATCACTCGCACAATCGAAGGAGTATTTAGAGACGGTACGTAATAACGCGACAAAACATTAAGGAACTCAAAATATTGTAAAGAAAATGTGCGTCCAGATCACCTGCCGACAAAAATGAGACTAACCACGTACCACGTACCACGTGGCGACCGCACAAAACTGTAGGAGATAAAGAAACTTGTATGTTTGTAAACACTGATACTTTCAGTGTGGTAGTGCAGAACATGAGAAAAATTGTACTCGTACTATGCATGGAACTATTAATTTTTATTAAATTCTTAATCGGATCTGATAGATAATTTAATTCTACATCGTTTATTTTAGTAACCTTTTTTGCTAACATTAACCGTTTAGACCCTATTTACCATTTTAGAGAAAAATGCATTCGTTTTTCATAGACCTTTTTGTTCTTGACATAATCGCTAAAAAATTCGACCCTGTTCTTCGACCGAAAAATATTTTAACACTATAGTACGACCCTGTTCATTGACTAAAAAATAATGTAAGTAAAAATGCTCGAACCTGTTTTTCGACCGAAAAAAATTTAACAAAGAAATTCGACCGAAAAATGTATACAAATAAATTCAACCGAAAAACGTTAACAAAAAATTCCACCAAAAAAATTTTATGAAAAAAGTTCGACCCTGTTCTTCGACCGAAAAATATTTATTAAAAAAAGTTCGACCCTATAATTGAAATTTATTGGGCAAAAATAGCGAAATTTGAATGTGATTTTAAGACACTTCCAAAGAGTTTCTAGGGCTAAAAAGATATGCATAGTGTAAAGGGGCTCTCTAACTTTAACATGACGTTGAGAAACTTCAAGAAAATCTATTAGATCACGTGATACAAGGTGTTTTCCACACCACGTTTTCAAATTTTCCAAAAATTGTTTATTTTTGAAGAGCATTTTAGGGCCCTTCCGAAAGGGCAGGAAGGTATAAAGAGTATGCATCTTGTAGACAACCTCTCTGACTCTCTTCTGGCGTAGAAACTAGAAGATAGTCAAATTGTTTACGAGATACAGGGTTTTCCATACTATGTTTTAAAATTTTTCTAAAATCGCTTATTTTTGAAGGGCATTTTAGGGCACTTCCGAACGAGTTGGAAGGTTGAAAAGGTATGTATCGTGTAGACATACTCCCTGCCTTTATTCAGGTGTGGAGAAACTTTATGGAAGTCAATTAGTTTCGGAGATACAGGGTGTTTTCCACACCTTCTTTTCAATTTTTCTAAAAATGCTGATTTTTGAAGGACACTTTAAGGCACTTCCGGAAAGGCTGGAACGTTGAAAGGATATTCATCGTATAGAGGAACTTTTTAGCTCTATTCTGCCTAGGAGAAACTCTAAAAAAGTCAATTAGTTCACTAGATACAGGGTGTTTTCCACACCATGTTTTCAAAATTTCCTAAAATTGTACATTTTTGAAGGGCATTTTAGGGCACTTCCGGAAGAGTTTGAATGTTAGGGGGTATGCATCGTGTAGAGGAACTCTCTAACTCTATTCTGGTGTGGAGAAACTATAAGAAAGTCAATTAGTTCACTAGATACAGAGTGTTTTCCACACCGTGTTTTCAAAATTTCCTAAAATTGCTCATATTTTAAGGTCATTTTAGGGCACTTCCGAAAGAGTTGGAAAGTTGAAGGGTAAACATCGTATAGAGGAACTCTCTAACTCTATTCAGGTGTGGAGAAACTATAAGAAAGTCAGTTAGTTCATTAGATACAGAGTGTTTTCCATACCATGTTTTCAAATTTTTCTAAAACTGCTCATTTTTGAAGATCATTTTAAGGCACTATCAGAAGGGTTGAGAGGTTGGAGGGTATATATAGTTGGAGGTAATATATTAAGTACTCCAGAGTAATACGTAATGTAAAATATTTCAAGCAGTTATATATTAAATTTTATTAATTTATAACGCAACCTCAATTGAATCATCATATAAAATGGTTCCATTTTTATTCAACAACATCTTTAATATAGTTGAATAAAAATATTAATAATTACGCATACCTAATTAACTTAATATCACCTATTTGCTAACGCAAACCGAATGTGCATATTACACACGAATTTGTGAATGTAAAATTACGTTCAATTTATGTCTTAACTACCCAAAAATGGTATAAATTAGAGAGGGCTCTTATACCAAAGCATCAGTTTACTTCCACTATTGATTTGACAAACATCAATTAAACACCTTAAAAATATCAAAATGTTCAAAGTTTTTGTTCTTGTAGCCCTAGTGGTCTACGTTGTAGCTGAGCATCATGCTTCTTCTTACGCATCATTCAACAATCACGTAGAGCATTCATATCACCACGATGATCACCATGATCATCATGAACCACATGTAAATTATTTAAGATACATATTACCGTAATATACTAAAAGTGATTGTGTCCTTTACTTAGCACCATCCAAAATACGAATACAAATATGGCGTCGAGGACCACCACACCAATGATATGAAATCTGCCGAAGAGGAACGCGATGGAGATGTTGTCAAGGGGTGGTACAAATTGGAGCAGCCCGATGGCAGGACCCGTATTGTTCATTACACCGCTGACAAACACAACGGTTTTAACGCTGATGTGAAATATTCCGGACATGCTGACCATCCTCATCATTATTAAATGATTATTACTGTATTATTATGTCAAATGTACCACAAAGTATATATTTTCTAATAAAACATCTTTAAAGAAGAAAATATGTTTTATTATGAACAAGTTTTGTAAGCAGGTTTGAAAGTTTATTTTTCTACTTCCAACTTTAAAATGCCTGTTTTTCCACGGTTTAGAGACACAGAAAGTGGTAGGTACTTTAAATACGGATGCTCAAGGCCGTGACTAAAATACGCGGCACGACATTTATAACCTTATATTTCCTAGTAGTTTGCGAGCGAATTTCGAAGATTTTAAATACAGAAGTTCAAGTACAAAAGCCTCGACGTGTAAATAGAGCAAAAGTGGAAAAAATAGCGTAAGCATCTCATAACTAATCACTTGATACTTAATATACTATTTAATTTAACACATAAAAACAAAAAAAAATGTGTGCCTTGGCTGAATTCATAAATGATTCAAAACTCCAAAATCTTCATATAATTTAAACTGCTCCTCACCGATTTTAAATATAAATATACCTTCATGTAGTATATAAGAATTAAGCACATTTCTCCACAATAGGCCACAGTTTAAATCAAGTGGGAAATTAAATTTGATGGCATATTTGGAAAAAACCTCATATTTAGATGTCCTAACATTACAAATTTCCTCGACTGGCGAGAAATTACAAATCTATGGAACAGTTTGGATATACACATTTTCCAAATAGTATTCCAAGTCATAAGAACTGAATAAAAGATGTTACACTGGCTTCACTGGCTGGTTCAATCAAAACCTGTCATTCGTACAGATCAAACTCTAACGCGCTCAAATATTCGGTAGCACTAAAATTGCACTGTGATCTCAAATAAAATCCCTAATCAATTATGTAGGTACCCGGGGAGTTGAGACCACCTCATAGCCCTTAACTTGTGTGGCGCACCTCGGAGGAGAGTGAAATAGTGGTGAGTGGTGAAACAGAGAGCTCTACACGATAAACCCTTTAGTACCTACCGCGAATTTTGCAGTGTATGAGTTTTATTTGGTATCGTTAGAGCCGTATCTACTTTTTAAGGGAACAAGCACAATTCTATCAGTTTAATTATTTAATGTGTTTTTTAAATATATTTGTTCAATCGCTATATGTGCGTCCCACTCCTCAGCCAATAAAAAATAACCACCCTAGATCTTTCAAATTAATCTGTTTATTTTTCTTACAAAAACTTCAGAATACGGAGTTATTTTGGAACACACTTGATAACAAATATTGTTGGCGTTTGTAACAACAACAAATATAGTATTGATTACACATATTTATTCAATTTAATATTAACAATTTTCTAGTGATGCAAAGAAAATATTACAAAACAATTTTTACGCACCCAAATAATATCACATTAATTACAATATGAATATTGATGCTGGTGTGTATGAACTACTTACGTTACAGAATATAGATTGTAGTCTCATTTTGTGTTTACTATTATGAGCATTCATACCTAACTAACACACTAAAATTGATTAAAGGAAGTAAAAATGGTATAAATTTGGTGTGCTCCTCAAACCAAAACATCAGTCAGTTCTGAGCCTTTACTAGATCAACATTAGATAACTACACCAAAATGTTTAAATTTTTGGTTCTTGTTGCCCTTGCTGCCTGCGCTGTGGCTGAGCATCATGCTTCTTCATACGCATCGTTCAACAATCATGTTGAACATTCATATCACCACGATGATCATCATGATCATCACGAGCCACATGTAAAGCTTTCAATTTACATATTATTGTTATAATTAAAATTATTGTTATCTTTCTTTAGCACCATCCAAAATACGAATACAAATATGGCGTCGAGGACCATCACACCCATGATATGAAATCTGCCGAAGAGGAACGAGACGGGGATGTCGTCAAGGGATGGTACAAGCTTGTGCAGCCTGATGGCCGGACCCGTATTGTTCATTACACTGCCGATAAACACAACGGTTTCAATGCTGATGTCAAATATTCTGGTCATGCCGAACATCCTCATCATTATTAAATGATTGTTAACCTTGTATTATGTTCAAAACTTTACTAAACCCAATTATTTTATATAGTGCGATACAATCAAAAATTAAACAATATATTGTCAAGTATAACTTCTTGTTTAAATAAAAAAAACAATTCTAAAGTTTGATTTATTTAATTAATTAATTTGCCGAGTAGGCATTAATTTACGAACGTACAGAAGACAATAATAAAATGTGCTATCAATTTTTACCGGATGTAGCATATAAGGTAACCAAGACTCCGATATTTCCAGCGACATAAATTTTAACAATCCTACAATAAGAAGTGCAAATTCAAATTGATCATTTTATCCATAATAAATAAAAAATATCTAATTAAAATTGTGATTACTGTCCAAATATATGACGCGGTTTTTACGGCTTTTTACTTAGTTGAGGTACATTTCTACTGATAATGAGACTTTAATTAAAAAAAAAGATTTTAAATAAATTTGGCTTGGTCTTTCAACCAAAAATAATTTTAATTAATACATACGTATAGTTAACTCTGCTTTCATGCGTCAATAATTTCATAAATTGAATCAAAGGCCCATTTTTTAAAGAAATTAATCTTAAATATTAATTTGATTTATTTTTTGACCCAAGGTAATATTTTTTGGACAAACAAAACATTTTTAATTAGTATTTTTCGGCACTTCCTAAAAGTTTAGTGGAAAAGGTATGCATAATGTAAAAGATTTATTGAGAAGCACAAAATAAGTAAATTAGTTCCAAAACTACAGGGCACTTTTCACACTATGTTTTCAAATTTTTAGAGTTATTAACAGAAGTTATTGACATGTTCAAACATTTCCTACAGGTTTAAAGGGTTAAATTGGTATGGCTTTATGCAAAGAGTTATCTAAAGTACGAGTATTTTTCAACGATAAATAACTGAATTGATTCCTAAGAGTCAGGAAGATTTCTATCCTCTTATTTTGAAATGATAAACAAATTATTATTTTTTATGGATATTTTAAAATAATCCTTAATAGTTTCATGCATTAAAACTGTATTTATATAGTAAAAGGTCTTTTGAGCCACAATATAATGGTCGTAAACACGAAATAAAAAATATTGTTTTCAAGATTTGGAGTGTTTTGTTTACCTTGTTTATTTAAGGTAGAAACTTCAATACTTTTATTAGAATTTAAGGGCAGTCTAAGATTGCATATTTAATTACCAGACTTTTAATGATCGAGTATTCATTTTGCAAAACGCATTGCGTATTACCTATATCGTAACATAAATGGCCAAATTTTATAACACTTATTATATATTTCAACAAACATTATAATAATTGCACATGATTATTTAATATTATATCAGCTATTTGCTGACTCAAAACGATATATATTCATATTATAAACAAATTTGTGAATGTAAAATTGAGTGCAATTTATGTCTTAACTACCCAAAAATGGTATAAATTTGAGTAGCCTATTATACAAAGGCGTCAGTTTGCTTCTCTTACTGATTCGACAAACATTAATCAATCACCTTAAAAAATACCAAAATGTACAAAATTTTTGTTCTTGTAGCCCTAGTTGCCTGCGTTGTAGCTGAGCATCATGCTTCATCTTACGCATCGTTTAACAATCACGTGGAGCATTCTTATCACCACGATGATCACCATGATCATCATGAACCACATGTAAACTATTCAAGATATATATTACTGTAATATAATAAAAATTATTGTGTTCTTTTCTTAGCACCATCCAAAATACGAATACAAATATGGCGTTGAAGACCACCACACCCATGATATGAAATCTGCTGAAGAGGAACGCGATGGGGATGTTGTCAAGGGGTGGTACAAATTGGAGCAACCCGATGGCAGAACTCGTATTGTTCATTACACTGCCGATAAACACGACGGCTTCAACGCAGATGTGAAATATTCCGGAAAATGTTATAGTGAGAAATAATCAAATATAGCAAAATGTATATATTTTCTAATACAACTTCTGAAAATAAAACAAATATGTTTTTTATGACAACATACTTTATTTTACATAATTTATTTTAATTCGAGATTTATAAACTGCATGATGATATGCCTTATCTCCATATAAAACTTCACATTCTTCAGATTATTTAAACCACTTCTCTTCGATTTATAAATTATTTGTACTCCAACGAATAACATGAGAAATAAGGACATTTCATTTCGACAAGCCATAGTTTAAATCACGTTAAAGAACAAATTTGAGAGCATGTTAGGAAACTAGATCGCATGTTTAGTTGTCCTAACGCTACCGATTTCCTTGACTGGCAAGACAATACAATGTGTATTGGACAGTTTGGATATACGAATTTTAGAAATAGTATTCCAAGTCATAACAACCGTATATCAGATGTTAGACTGGCCAAGCGTTCGCTGCTTCAATCAAAACCTGTCATTCGTACAGCTTAAATTCAAACGTGTTCAAGTCTTGGGTCGCACTAAAATAGCACTATTATCTCAAATGATGTTCCTCATCAATTATGTAGGTACCCCGGGAGTACAGAGCGCCTTGTAGCCTTTGGCTCATATGGCACACCTTGGAGGAGAGTGAAATTGTGGTGACAGAGAGCTCCTTACGATAAACTGTCAAGTACCACAAATTTTGCGATGTATGAGTATTTTTATTTGGAATCGCCCGGGCGTATTTACTTTTCAAGAGAGCAAGGACGATTCTTCCCTTTTAACCAATTTTATAATATAATTTATATATCTGCGTGTTCCACTACTTAACTTATAAAAAATAAGCACTCTAAATCAGCATTAAAACCAATCAGACTATTTTAAAAATTTCCAAAAATTGAGTTATTTTATAACGTATTTAGTGCCAATTTTGATGGCGCCTGTAGCATCAGCTTATGCATTTTGCGAAACTTATAACGTTATAATTATTTGTTTGCAATTGCATAAATTATAATTTCAAAGCATATGAAAGAATGTAAAAGCATGTACAATTTATGCAACACCTTCCATTGATTCATAATAAAAACAAAACCAAATTTACCTACATTTAAGAATACCGCTAATGTATTTCAACAAATATAGTATTAATTACACGTACTTATTAAATTTTATATTAACTATCTTCTGCTGAAGCAAAGAGAATGGGAATATTACCAAATATTTTAGACGCACCCAAATATTGTATAAATTGAGTTGCCGACTATACCAAAGCATCAGTTTAATTCGATCATCTATTTGATACGCATCAAATGCATTCAAACACAAAAATGTTCAAACTTTTTGTATTCGTTGCCCTGGTTGCCTGCGTAGTAGCTGAGCATCATGCTTCTTCTTACGCATCGTTCAATAATCATGTTGAACATTCATATCACCACGATGATCATCATGACCACCACGAACCACATGTAAAACACTCAAGATACATATTATTGTTATATTAGAAGAATTATTATTTTCTTTCTTTAGCATCACCCAAAGTACTAATACAAATATGGTGTTGAGGACCACCATACCCACGACATTAAATCTGCTGAAGAGGAACGCAACGGGGATGTTGTCAAGGGATGGTACAAATTGGAGCAGCCCGATGGCAGGACTCGTATTGTTCATTACACCGCTGACAAACACAACGGCTTCAACGCTGATGTCAAATATTCTGGTCATGCTGACCATCCTAATCATTATTAATTACAAAATATTAATTAATGTAGGAAAATGTACACGCTTTATTTTTTTCTAATAAATTATTTCAAACAGTAATGAGTTTGAAAAATGCAAAAAGGGCAAAGTTTAGCGGTCATTTCAAGGCATAAAGAGCTGAATTATGCGCAGGGAAAGAGGTGCATCGATCAAAACCATTCTGGCGCTGCTATAATCCGAAAAAAGAATAAAAACATCGCAAAGGGTTTGCAAGATATGACCCGTTTTTTATCGTAAGTTTTAAAAATGCAAAAACGGGCAATGTTTGGCTGCCTTTTTAAGGCAGTAAGGTCAGAATTTCACGGAGGGCAATGGGTGCACCGGCTAAAACCATTCTTGTTCTTGCACCAATAGAATCCAAAGAATCAATAAAAATATCAGACAAAGTTTACCAGATATGACCCGTTTCAATCGCAAGTTTTGAAATATTTGAAAAAAGGGCAAAGTTTCGCGGTCATTTTAAATCAGCTAGGGCAGAATTTCACAAAGGGCAAGGGGTGCATTGTCGAAAACCATTCTTGCGCTACTAGAATCCGAAGAAAAAATTAAAACATCATAAAGGGTTCGCAAGATATGACCCGAATTTCACTGTAAGTTTAGAAAAATAGAAAAAAGGTCAAAGTTTTGCGCCCATTTTAAGACAGTTACGCCGGAATTTCGTAGGAATTTGGCGGAGGCCAAGGAGTGCATAGTCCAAAACCGTTCTTGTGCTCCGAAGAAATTATAAAGAAATTTCCAAAGAAAGAATAAAAATATCACAATGAGATTGCGCTATATGACCCGTTTTCCACCGTAACTTCTGTGAAATGCAAAAAGAAAGGCCAAAATTTGACAGCCATTTTATTGCAGTTCAGTCGGAATTTAACGAAAGGCAAGGGGTTCATCGTCCAAAACCATTCTTGCGCTACAAGAATCCAAAGAAAAATAAAAACATCACGTTGGGATCGCGATATATGACCCGTTTGCTAGTTTTAAGAAATGCGAAATAAGGGCAACGTGTGGCCGTCATTTTAAGGCAGTTACGTCGGAATTTCAACGCCCCGACAGTTTACGATAAGAAAGCCCGAGATGCCAGAGAAGTCGGCGCGTCGATGACTCGCGACCTTGTGCGTGAATTGCAATAGGCACGATTCTCGCGATCTAAACACCCCAATAACGCAAACCGTTCCCGAGATATGAGCCAAGTTCCACGACAAAACATGAAAAATATTAAAAATTGTCTAAAGTTGAAGCCAATTTTGAGAGTCTTCCCGACCGAATTCCGGGTGCGGCAAATGCGTATCATCCCAACAGTGCAAAGCGTTCCTGAGATATGAGCCAATTTCCACCACGAAACATGAAAAGTATTGAAAATTGTCCAATTTTGCAGTCAATTTTGAAGATGTTCCCGACCGAATTCCGGGTGCAACAAAAACGTATTGTATAATTTTTTTCAAGGTTATATACTGGATGTAACGGTAGTGTTATATGCGTGAATTTATTAAACAAATACTAAAAAAGATTTAATGTATTCACTTAGATTCTTAGAAGAAACAGAAGATTTGTTTAACCATTATGTAGGTTCGATTCTGGATAATTATAATTATTAAAATAAAGATATTTACCAAAATGTGCACAAGAAGATCTTCTGGCGGCAAAAGTGATTTGCACAAGTCCAAAATCTAATACAAACTAATTTTAATCACAATAATTCAAAATCACAACATATCGACAGTCGGCGTCCGACGGCAACTCACTCACGAAAATACACGTGAAATTAAACATAACAAACACAACAAATTCACAAATTGAAAAATTCCACACGCGGGAAATCCTTGGCAAAATACAAGACACATCTATTAACAGTCAATATTGGCGATTGTTAATCAAACAGATCGCGATTTACCGAATTTAATAAAGAACAAGGCACACCGCATTAAACGCGAGGTGCGAGAACACTAATCATAGCAAGAAACAATACCAATCTATTTTATGATTTTTAGTTCATGCTAGTGCCATCTCTGAATGATACAGGTATCACGACAAATGTCGACACCAGTGATCGACATAACCCCAATGTCATAACAACACGTTTTTAAGAAGTTCATTAGTTTCATGACTTTATGATAACTTTTATTAATTCGCAATTTCCTATAGTAAGATGTCACGAATAATAATTAAAAATTTACCAAAAAATGTAAGTAATGTGATTTAGGATTATATTCAAAAATTATACTAATTTCTTACATTTCACAGACAAATGAAGACAAGTTAAGATCAATATTTGGAACAAAAGGCCAAATAACTGATGTACAGTTAAAATACACCAAGGATGGACAATTTAGAAGATTTGGATTTATTGGATACCAAAATGAAAATGATGCAGCTGAAGCTATTAAATATTTTGATAATAGCAGAATCAACACAACCAAAATATCAGTACAGGAATGTGCTACACTTGGTGATGAGAACAAACCAAAATCATGGAGCAAATATGCCACAGACAGTTCAGCATATCAAAAGATTCACAAGAAAGACAAGAAACAGGAAGAGAAGAAAGTAAAAGAGCCTAAGACAAATGATGACACCACAAAGGAACTTTTAAAGAAATATAGAGATGATCCATTATTTGATGAATTTTTACAAGTGCATTCTGCTACTAAAGCTCAAGAAATCCTTAAGTCAACACAAGAAAATGAAGATTCAGATTCTGGTCATGCAGATTCTGCTGATGAAAATGAAGATGAAGCTGAGGAGGGTGAAGATCCTGAAGAAGAAAAATTGCAAATAAAAATATTTCAGATGAAGATGTAAGTACATATTTCAATTGTAGTTTGAATCAATTTATTTAGAATGACAAAATTCTTTTAGTATTTGAATTCATTGAAATCCAAAACGCCCAGGAAGAAAATGGAAAAGAAACCTAAAGTAAAAGTTGATTTGTTCACATTAAAACTAACAAATTTACCATACAGTTGCAAAAAGAAAGACATAAAAGACTTCTTGAGGCCAATTGTACCTTTTTCAATTCGGATACCACGAAATATCAAAGGTATCGCATTCATTGGATTCAAAGATGAGAAGAAATATGATAAGGCATTGCTTAAAAATAAGAGCATAATTAAAGGCAAACAAATTTTAATCGTTAAGTATGAGAAAAAGGAGTCCGCTAATGATTCAAGTGTCTTAAATTCAAAATGGCTCAGCCAAGAAGAAAAACTCAAGAATGAAGAAGGTATCGCCGAATCCGGACGCATATTTCTACGAAACTTATCATATACAACCAAGGAGGAAGATATTCAGGAGATGTTTGGAAAGTTTGGCCCCATAGCCGAGTTAAATCTACCAATTGATACCACAACAAGGACTATGAAGGGTTTTGGTGTGGTGACATTTGTGATGCCCGAAAATGCAGTAAAAGCGTACTGCGAATTGGATGGGAAAATCTTGCACGGTCGAATGTTGCATTTACTACCTGGTAAACCAAAAGATGAGAAAGAGGATGATGATGAAGATTCGACAAATTTTAAACAGAAAAAAGCTAAGCAACAAAAAGCGCAGGCGTCGAGTGCTCACAATTGGAATTCCTTGTTTTTGGGGCATGATGCTGTAGCTGAAGTGATTGCAACTTCATACAACACAACAAAGGAAGCTGTTTTAGGTCCGCATGGATCTGGTAGTGCTGCCGTTCGATTGGCACTCGGTGAAACGCAAATTATTGCCGAAACCAGAAAGTACTTGGAAGCACATGATGTTTATTTGGATGCTTTTAATACTGCTAATGTAAAGCGATCAAAAACTATAATATTGGTAAAAAATTTGCCAGCAAATACTAGACCTATGGAAATTAAAGATAAATTTGATGAATTTGGCGTAATTGGAAGATTTATATTTCCTCCAAATGGTATCACCGCAATTGTGGAGTTTCTAGAACCGTCAGAAGCTAGGAAAGCATTTAGTAAGTTAGCTTATACAAAATTCAAAAATTTACCTTTATATTTGGAATGGGCACCTGAGAATGCATTGAAAGAAAGCAACTTTATGCGGAAGGACCAAATAGATAATTCAGCAGCAACAGTTGAAACCGAGAAGGTTACTAAAGAAGTACAACCTCCTAAAGCAGCAGTAATTGAAGAGAAAGATGATGAAGAAGATGATGAACCAGAACCGGATACAACTATATTTGTCAAAAATTTGGACTTCAGAACCACTGATAAAGAGTTAAGAGAGCATTTTAAGTTTTGTGGTAAAATTAATTATGCCAATGTTGCAACAAAGAAGGATCCCTCTGATCCAAGCAAAACGTTATCAATGGGTTACGGCTTTGTTCGTTTTGTGCACAAATACAGCGCTGATGATGCAATGAAAACCCTGCAGCATAGTAATTTAGGCGGAAAATCACTGGAATTAAAACGGTCGGAGAGGACTATCGCGTGAGTATTTATATTTGATTTGTTTGATTTTATTCTCCAATTATATTCTTAATTTATTTTCAGCGGTGAAGTTCAGGTGAATAAGAAATCAGCGAAAGCGACAAAGCAAACTGGTACTAAAATTTTGATACGAAATATTCCATTTCAAGCAAATCGAAATGAAGTTTTGGAGTTGTTCAAGTAAGTTTCCACTTTTAATTGTGTCGAATTGTACCACAATGGTAATTTAATTTAATTATAGGACATTTGGTGAAATCAAAGCCCTGCGATTACCTAAGAAAATGACTCCGGGCGCTGATTCGCATCGTGGTTTTGCGTTTGTTGATTTTGGCACCAATAGTGATGCCAAGAAAGCGTTTGATGCTCTTTCTCAAAGTACTCACTTGTACGGGAGACGTTTGGTTCTGGAATGGGCTCAGAAAGAAGAAGGAGTTGCTGAAATTAGGAAACGAACGGCTGATCATTTTCATGAGAAAGACGTCGTTAAATCGAAAAAAAGTGTTTTTGATATAGAATCAAAATAGATTGTTACTTATATAGGAATTAAAAATAAGTTTGTAAATACGACAATTTGTCACGTTATAAAATATTTACGACTCGATGTTCCGCGTTTGTTTCTCTGTTTTATCATCGGCTTTGAATTGTCTGTCCTGAAATCCTGACTCCTGAAATCTAGTTTCTTTTCTTACTTCGTTAGTTGCTTTGTATGTAGTTTTTAACTAGGCGATTGTTTTATTCTTCTAAATTTAGACCAGTGTAAGAGCACCCATGAATGGCAAAGTAGAAATATTTGCCAGTTTGAATTTTGTTATGTTTCATGATTTAGAAACCGACTAAATTCGTACGAAAGTAATCGCTATAGGGCCTGTAGGGTAAAACGAGCCAAATGCCATGAATACAGTTGTATTGCCTTCAATGGTTCATAATTATAATTTCATTGACTAAAAATAGTTTAAAATTAATATTTGTACTTTTCTTCCAGTTTTCTACAAATGTTTAAAGTTTGTCCAATAAATTATTGGTATTCTACTTTCAGAACTTTTACTACAATACTAATTATAGGATACCAAATAAAAGTTTGCAATTTAGATTGAATTTTTTATTTGTCTTGATTTTAAACACTTAAATATAGTGCAGCAAAGACGTGTACTATAATTATCAAACCGTACAATTAACTTGGAAATACTACATGCGTGTCAGAATAAACGCTTATAAATTGCTTCCGTTTATAATAATTATTTTATTGTTAACTAGATTTAGCAAAGAAGTTATTCTTGCTGAAAAAATCATAACTTCAAACATTATGCATTATATTATGAAGTTTTTGTTGATAGGGTTGCGAATAAATGGTATGGACCCAACCACACAGAACTGGTTCTTTAAAATACTCATGTTCATAAATGGAACTTCAGTAGTTGCCGTTTTTATAATCAATTTGCTCGAATTACTCCTTAATTGGCATGGAATAGAGACGTTTGGTGATGTGCATTTGATATCTTCTACATCAATAGTAAGATACAAATCTATATTTGACTTTAATACAAACTATTTAATTTTTTGGGCGTTTAGCTTGCAGCCAAATGTATTTATATATCATTCAATCAAGCAAAACTTCTAAATTTAATCAACACAGTCAACAAATTCTGGAAATTTGACAAATTTGATGCTGATACCGAGACTCGCATAACTGGATACCTAGACCGCGCCTTGGCTGCTTTTAAATTTTTTGCTTTAGCAGTAATGGGTACCGCATTTTCTGCGTTGATTAGTGGTCTGCTGAGCCGCGAATTAATTTTCCCCGGTTATGATGTCTGCGATTTGCAAAGTAGTCCGTGTTATGAGATAAATATGGTTTGGCAAACTTATTTCTGTTATTTTGAACTATACCCCATTGTAATGGGATTTGATGGACTGTTTGTGTGTTTTATTGGATACGCATATTGCAATCTCGAGATGATAAAAGTTGCTTTAAAACAAATGACTTTAGTGATTAAAAAGAATCACTTGCCACCGAACTTACGCTATGAGTCAGACGATGAAAAGAGATTGGTCAAGAGCAATTTGACGGAAATCGTTGAACAACATGCACAAGTTATGCAGTAAGAATATTAGCGATTGTTTAAAATTTAAATTAAAACATCATTTTGTATTTGTAGATTTATTAAAGAAATTAATATATTCTATAGTCCTATGATGTTGTTGCATTCGGGATCATCGTTGTTTAGTTTAATATTTTGCTTGTATATGATAACATTGGATGGGTAATATTTTTCCAAAGAAATATATTTGAAATATAAATATTTCTATTTTTGTAGAATTCCACCAAAAATTGAAGTGCTCGCAAAATATGCAAGCCTTTTGATTGCAGTATGCTTTCAATACTTGATATTTTGCTATGCAGGCACTATCATCCTTGAACAGGTATAAATATACCAAATTTAATAAAACATATTTGTAATTAACACGTTTTCATTTTAGAGTAAGTCAATGGAACACCATTTTTATGATCTCGATTGGTGGTATAAAACACAACCGGATTTTCGTCATTCTGTATTGTTGATGATAGCGAGAGCTCAAGCTGCTCCAAAACTAAAAATCGGCAACATGAACGATTTGAATCTGGAGAGTTATCTTGCCGTTAGTAACCATGTATAATTTGTCGTTAAATTCTATTAAATTTATGGTTTTAGGTGATGAGAAATGGTGTGTCAGCTTTTACTCTTATGAGAACAATGTCTAATTCTGACAAATTGAATTGAAAATTTGTAGAAATGTTGCAAATACAACAAAAACAAACATTGTAACAAATCAGCAATATCGTGGTGTGTTTCAATGAATGGTACGTTAATTAATTTAGAAATGTATTCACATAGTGTTATCTTCAACGGTAACGAACAGGTCTCATTGCACCTTTTTAAATTACCCATTAATTAATCCGGATGAATTAATCTAGTACTATAATACAATATGACTGTTTTGTTCAGAACTTCCTTATGCATACTACCAGGGCAACGTCTATACAACTTTCTGTTTTCTATTTTCTTTGTTTTATCTAAAAGACGTGCACACTTGTGAGTTTTATTAAATTTATTTGAAGAAAAAAATTAGATAGTATCCAAATATTCCAAACACTTTTTTAACATCTGGCGCATTGTGAAGAAGCACATTAGAATTCTAAACAAATCCTGAGATATTACCCCCATTCAAGGAATATAGTATATTTAATGTAAAGTATATAATATTTTATCATTTTTTATTAGAAAATATATTATTATAAATATATAATTTATTAGCAGTTATACATTGTTGGCAAAAAAATAAATTAAAAGTTCTCTTTTAAACTCAATAATGATGATCAGCATGGCCGGAATATGTAACATCAGCGTTGAATCCATTGTGTTTATCAGCGGTGTAATGAACGATGCGAGTCCTGCCATCAGGCTGCTCCAGTTTGTACCATCCCTTAACAACATCCCCATCGCGTTCCTCTTCGGCTGCTTTCATATCATGGGTGTGGTGGTCTTCAACGCCATATTTGTATTCGTATTTTGGATGATGCTAAAAATATTAAATTAATACACACATTATAACATCATATATGTGTTATTTTACGTGGGGCTCATGATGATCATGATGATCCCCGTGATGATAACTGTGTTCAACATGATTGTTGAATGATGCGTAAGAAGATGCATGATGCTCAGCTACCACGCAGGCCACAGCAGCAGCAAGAACCAAAATCTTGAACATTTTTAATGGGAAAATTATTTGTTGATACGTTGATATTGTTTGTGAGTGGTGTTGCTTGTACGAAGTGTACAGTTCAACTGATAAATTGTGTGATCGATTGCTGGTATTTATACGCCTTGTTTCATAAGAAAAAATAAATCAAGTATAGTACACAAGTACATAATGGATTTACACATCGACAGAATACTTAAATTCGGTATAAAATTTATATTTTATAAATTACTTAAAGAATACTTAACGTGCGTGAATTTAGTTGTTTGTAGTAACAGATATGTATTACACATAATGCGGAAATGCGTATAAGCATTTTTAATTAGAATTAACAAATTTATAAGGTTGGTAACATGCGTTGTAAAACAATATAAAAGTAGGCAATTATTCATTATATGTAAGAAAATCAAACACATTTTAAAATATGTACATAATATGTTTTCACAACAACTCAGCAACACGAATCCTATTTAGAACAAAACATCAAATAAATGGTTGCACATGACACTTTCGTTATTTGTTTAATTTCTTATTTATTTTATAGTACGGTCTTAAATATTGTCTATATTGACTATCATATTTTTAAAAGTGCATTGCGATAGCGCCTGATTTGTCTTGTTTCACTGACGATGCATGGCATTTTATTTGGCTTTGTACTGCATCGTAAGCAAATGCGCAGATGCAAGCGCTACCACGCCACTAAATCCCATGACTAAAGTACTTTACTCACGGCCTTGATCGTCCGTGTTTAAAGTACTGTTTGTGAAAAACTGACGATTTATAGGTAGAAGTAGAATAAACAAATGGTTACAATAAGTTAATAAAAACCACATATGTTTCCTTCAGTTAAGACTACTAACAATATTAAAGTGAATATTAGAACAACATTACAGTGTTCCTTCTTTATATCGTAAAGGCATATGACGCAACTCTCCTTAACTGCTAAAGATGTCATTTGTATAGACGTATTTATCATAGCGAATGTGTTTATTACCAGCTTAGAAAAACTTAAAAATTATTCTTCATTTTGTTCTTGTCTTGCGTTAATATAAAAAATTAAGAGAGTTTACGAAATTCATACTTTTGAAGATAGTTTGTTCCTCCCTAAAGAATTCTATCCAATGAATTTTCATTGTATATGAACAAGGAATCAAGAAATCAATTCACAAACAAGTCAATTTGATATATGTATTTACAGTTTTGATCACAGAAAGTCAAGATTTAATTCATATATAAATAATACATATTTAATAATGTCCAGAATATTTAACATCAGCATTGAAACCACTATGTTTATCGGCGGTATAATGAACGATACGGGTTTTGCCATCAGGCTGCTCCAGTTTGTACCATCCCTTCACAACATCACCATCTCGTTCTTCTTCGGCAGACTTGATGTCGTGAGTGTGGTGGTCTTCGACACCATACTTATATTCGTATTTTGGGTGGTGCTGGAAAGATTAATTTATTTAATAAATACTGATAACATATTCTTGTCGGATTTACATGTGGTTCATGGTGATCATGATGATCATCGTGGTGATATGTATGTTCAACATGATTGTTGAACGATGCGTATGAAGAAGCATGATGCTCAGCCACAGCGCAGGCAGCAAGGGCAACAAAAACCAAAAATTTAAACATTTTGGTGTAATTATCTAATGTTGATCTAGTAAAGGCTCAGAACTGACTGATGTTTTGGTTTGAGGAGCACACCAAATTTATACCATTTTTACTTCCTTTAATCAATTTTAGTATGTTAGTTAGGTATGAATGCTCATTCAACTAATACACCATGAGTGACTACAACTCATATTACGTAACGTAAGTAGTTCATACACACCAGTATCAATATACATATTGTAATTAATGTGATATTATTCAATGCTTGCATTATAATTTTCGGTAAGCAATCACTTTCAAATTTCAACTTTTATGGTTTTATTTTGATGATACGCAGTCAAAATTAATTCATTTGCTTTGTGTTGTTAGTATGTCTTTTGGGATATAATTATGATTCAATTTGAAAGTTAGTTTACCGCCATTTTAGCAAATTATTAAGAAGTATAAATCAATATCAAAAATAACATCCTTAATTTATTTCTAAATGTTCACATTTTTTGTATTTGCAAATGATTGGTTGATTATTAAAAATGTAAACTGGAATCCATTTTCCTATTCTCTTTACACCTAATTCACTGAATTATGGAATTTTTAGGTTTCAAATATGCATAACTTATATTTCTTTTTTTTTGTTCATGTACCTACATTCTTTTTAACGTGTTTTATATTGATAGAATAGTAAGTTGTAAATCTGAAATACTTAACAAAATAATTATATTTTTTTACAAATCACGTTTTAATACCCGCAATCACTTTTGAAACTTACAAATTTTACATATTATACTCGTATGTAAATATTCTTTGCATTATCGGCATCACTCAAATTCAACATTTCCGTAATAATAACCCATTTATTTAAATGCACATATTTTAAATAAAGTATATTTTGGTATTAAGTAACTCTATACAATTTTATATTAACCAAATAACATTTTATTAACTTTTTAATTGTGTTGATGTTGGATTTAATTATTCAATGTTCATAAAATATACATTTTTGTGCATATTTAATTACTTGCATTTGGAAACGTTACTTCATTGCAATGAAAAAGAATGAGAATTACGTATTAACTTATAAATTTAATAATCAAAAATGGTATAAATGCGATGTCTGGAATATACCAAAATATCAGTTCACTTCAAGCATTCACTTGAAACATACATACTACAACAAAAATGTTCAAACTTTTTGTGTTTGTTGCCCTTATTGCCTGCGCTCTAGCAGAGCATCATGCTTCTTCTTACGCATCATTCAATAACCATGTTGAGCATAGTTATCATCACGGTGATCATCATGATCATCATGAGCCCCACGTAAAATAACACATCTATGATTTTATAATGTGTGAATTAATTTAATATTTCTAGCATCATCCAAAATATGAATATAAATATGGCGTCGAGGACCACCACACCCATGACATGAAGTCGGCTGAAGAAGAACGCGACGGAGATGTCGTCAAGGGATGGTACAAACTGGAACAGCCCGATGGCAGGACTCGTATTGTTCATTACACCGCTGATAAACACAACGGCTTCAACGCTGATGTCAAATATTCCGGACATGCTGAACATCCTCATCATTATTAGTAGATTATGAACATTGCATTATATAGGAGTTATTTATTGTGAACACTGATTTATATTTTCTAATAAAATGGCATTAAAAAAGAGATATTATGTTTTCATAAACTAGTGAAATATGACTAGTGAAATTTTCAGGCAACGTGTTATGAACTAAAATACAAGGTTGCTATTGATACTGCCGTTCTTGCTACAAGTAACTATAAGTAAACACAATATATAAAAAATAAAATAAATAATTAAGTACAACTCTACTAACTGACAGTATAAAATAAAGTCAATTCTGTTCTGTTCTAGCATCTCAAGATCTTATACTTTGCAATAAAAACTCTGTTCAACTCTGTCATTTTCGATTTCCACCTGAATTTTCCGAAATTCTGGTGATATCATTTGTCAATTACCGTTTTTATTATGCTCTGGTTTTAGCATCTTTTTTGAGTCAAAAAGAATCAAGTGTTTCCTCTTGGCTGATTTTTCATAGTTTTTGGTTATCTTCAGAAAATCAAAAAATCAAGATATCAACAAAACAAATGAAATACCTCCATATCTTCATTTCTTTCGGAAAAAATCGCGGATGAAAATGATTTTCAATTGCCTTAACAATACATATTTTTACATCATGTCTTCTTTCGGAAACCTTGCGGTGCGTATTGCCGTTTTCTGTTCTTACTTATTTTTGTTGGTTTCTGTGATAAATGTTAGTTATATATCATTTTAAGTACACATTACAATCTATAACATTGTAGGTATTAAGTGATAAGTTCGGAAATTAAGGTGATTAAAAGACGTCCTACAGAATGGTGTTATTCGTTTTTTTTAAATACTAATTGAAATGTCAGCACCTCCGCCAAATTTGTATTAATTAGGAAATTATTCAAAATATTTGAAAAGTTCGAGTTTTAATTGCTTATTGTCAAATATAAATATTTTTAGCAACTCGTATAATATATTTCAAGAAATATAGTAATAATTACGCATAATTATTTAATTTTACGAACAGCAGTTATTTGTTGATGTAACAATACTTCGTATATTACAAACAACATACCAAACTTAAAAACGAGTTCAATTTATGTCTTAACTGCCTAAAAATGGTATAAATTCAAATGGCCCACTACTAAAGCATCAGTTTAGTTCTATCATTCAATCGCTAAGCACTTATTCCAACTTAAACCCTTTAAAGAACGCAAAAATGTTCAAACTATTTGTATTCGTTGCCCTGGTTGCCTGCGTTGTAGCTGAACATCACGCTTCTTCATACGCATCGTTCAACAATCATGTTGAACATAGTTATTATCACGGGGATCACCATGATCATCATGAGCCCCACGTAAAGTGGCACATCTATGATGTTATTATTTGTGAATTAATTTAATACTTTTAGCATCATCCCAAATATGAATACAAATATGGAGTTGAAGACCACCACACTCATGACATGAAATCTGCTGAAGAAGAACGCGATGGGGATGTTGTCAAGGGATGGTACAAACTGGAGCAGCCCGATGGCAGGACTCGTATTGTTCATTACACCGCCGATAAACACAATGGATTCAATGCTGACGTCAAATATTCCGGCCATGCTGATCACCCATATCATTACTAATAAAACTACTGTAAATGAGAGAAATATGTATATTGTAAATATATTGTATATTGTACAAGATGAATATTTTTAGAGAATAAATTAAACAAATATTAACAACACATTGGCGAAAAATACTTTTCGGCAATATTTAAGCTATTTTAAATATCTTAACTTTCAGCGTCAAAAGTTCCTGTTAAACTGAACATTTTGCGTATTCCTGCTATATAGTAGATACACCGTTGGGATATATGTTCATTTTGGTCAAATACTGAAAGCCAAATTTAAATTTAACTAATATAGCCATATACCTGTACCAGATGTATTGCGGGGTGCAATGCATTTTCTATTGCTTATTTCGAAACAACTTATTTCAAACCCTAATAAAATTGGAAAAACAAAGATGCAAGGTACGAAGTGAGCATGCACCAACCAATGATAGAAGTCATCTGACATCTGCCAAATATATCCAGTGCATTGCAAGGTTACGGTGTTTGTTTATTGTTGATTTGTCGGGCGAGCCTATTATTTCACTCTACAACTAAACAAATGCAACTAAATACATCGATTGACAAGAATAACATATTAGTGTTATACACGCCTGGCCGACAACCGCGATGAATTCACACAGCGACAGCCAACTTGGCCCGCACACGAATATCAAATTCAGGGCAAAGGACAAACTCAAGACTGAAAAAGAGGTAGTGTCCCCTTCGTTGATCAAGGTCTTAAAGGAGGCTCATTGCACGAAAAACGAAATAAGTCTTATGAAGCTAGTGTCTGTGAATAATCTAGAAGGAGTTCAAAATCTGCTCTACAATGGCACAAATGCAAACTGCCATGACAAACTCCACAGAACTCCATTGCATATTGCTTCTAGTCGATGCTACACAGACATGGTAGACTTACTTCTAGCTAATGGTGCTGATCCCAATCTGCAGGACATTTTATTAAATACTCCTTTACATCTAGCTGCCTGCAACAACAATGTGCATATCATCAAACTCTTGATTGATGGTGGAGCTGACCTAAGACTACTTAATATGAATAAGAAGAATCCAGTCCAAATTGCTCAAAGTAAATTAAGAATATTGGTGAGGCGCATTAGAGAATGTTACACATTAAAGAATGTGTTAGGTGTGGCACTTGTGAGGGCAGGTGATAAAAGATAAGCATGAAACAATGAGCACTTGTAATTGTAAAAGAATGTTGAATAGCGTTTATTGAATAAGGCGTCTCTTAATCTGCGTCTGCTGCGCTCTGCTTGTACTTAGCTACTGCACCGGGCGCACGCAGTGCGCCGGTCTTGCGCGGGAAAAATAATGTAATGTATGTTGTGTTGTTGGTTGCCTACGTTACGCATTTCGCTAACACTCGACCGTCCTGACTCTCACTCGTCCTCGAGTGTGTATGCTGCGAAGCGGGCTGGAACCTTTGTGACTCGTGAGCTCTTCCTTACGTTTTTCACCTCGGCAGTGGCGCTTCCACTTGCCGGAACTTCTTCTCCTGCAACGTCGTAATTTGTTCAAAATGGCGGCCCTGGAACCAAAATTGGCTATAAAACGGCGAAAGAAACTAGCCATTCCCAGGAAACGCCGTAGCTGGTGGATATCTGTAGGCGCAGGATACTCCGAGATCGCTCGTAGTTTTGCGGGGCCAGGCTCTATGCCATCGGCACTCAGAATGAACCCCAAATACTCCACACGCTCCTGCATGAAGTAGCATTTTTCGATCCTCAGCGTTAATCCGGCACCTCTCAACGCCATCAGGGTCTTGGTTAACCTGACTCGCATGTCCTTCCAATCACGCGCAGGTATGAGGATGTCGTCAAGGTAGTACATCACCGTGTCATTACGGAGAGGTCCCAAAACCTTTGCATTAGTTTTGAGAAGTACGAGGGGGCATTGGTCAAGCCAAATACCATTCTGGTAAACTCACCCGTTTGGTCCGGAGTAATAAAAGCTGTCTTTCTGCGTGCTTCTTCCGACAATGGTACCTGGAGGTAACCATGAGCCAAATCAAGTGTCGTGAAGTACCTTGCATCGCGAATCTGTGTCAGATGTTCATCCATGTCGGGCAGCGGAAATGGCAATGGTTCGGTCTGGTTGTTCAACCGTCGATAGTCGACAACCATTCGGTACTCCCCAGTCTTCTTCTTCACCAGCAGTACAGGGCTGGCGTATGGTGAGGTCGTGTCGGTGACTAGACCTGCATCTCTGTATTCGTTGATGATGGTGTTGAGCGCCTCGCGCTCATCGGCACTACATCTGTAAGGCTTCTGGCGCACGGGTTGACTGCCCGGCACCTCGGTGATGTCCATTTGTAGGACCGTTGTGCATCCTAACTCGGAGGAATCGATCGCAATGGTATCGCGGAACTCGTTGAGGAGGCCATGCAGCTCGTTCACTGTGTCCGTATCCAAATTGTCGTCCACGTTGATGACCTCGAGTGGAATGGGTTGCTGGCGGGGCTCAGCTTGCTCCAAATTCAGTACCTCGCCCCGAAACAGACTCGTGTTCTGAGATACATGAGTGGGCTCAACCGCCCAATTGATCAGTGGAAAAGCATGCGTTTCCGTACCTGAGACAACCTCTACCAGGTTTACGGAACGTGGTGGAATGTTCGCTTCCGTCGTCACTCGATTTGACGCGCGCTTCTTCGCCTCGACTTCCAAAGCAGAGAACGGATCATCACTACGGTACGTAAATATCAGGTCGTCATCAATGCGCATGTAGACGATAGACGGGTTCTCGGTGAATGGTCGACCGATGATGGCGTCCACGCTCTGAACGTCGTCCGGAACGATGCTAAAGACTATTTCTGAGAGAACCACACCATCGATGGCAACATCCGCCGTGACAAATCCGGGAGATTTGACAACATGGTTTGCGGGACCAAATGCCTTCAGCAAGGTCTCCTTGCGCTGAATGGTAAAGCCTGCGGCGATGGCTTGCGACGCCTTCAGGGTGCACTCCGAACTTCCTGGATCAATCAAGCTCTGGAACGCCATTCCGTTGCATGTGATTGGCTTCAAGTATTTGAGCACACCATCATTGTCTTGCGAAGTAATGATCTTTACTTGTCCATTACTCTTTGCGGCTGTCTCCGCTGGACGGGTTTCGGGCTTGGATAGTCCGCGTGGTTTTGGTGGGATAGGGCAATCTCTGGCGAGGTGTCCCTCCTTGTTGCAGTTGAAGCATTTCATGACTCGACTTGTAGTCGGCTGTGGCGGTGCTGGGGTTGCGGACCGCCCTACTTCTGATGGTTTCTTCATGGGCGCACCATAGGAATCCATCACACGTGGTGCATGGGTTGATTGACTCCTGGGAGAAGGAAACAAGCGCTCCTCACGAGCCTTGTGCACACGCAAATAACTCAGCAAGTCATGGTACAGACTGTTGGTGTCGGCGTGACGTTGTGCCATCATGGCTGTGCACAGCTGCTTATCATACAGCCCAATAAGCAGTTGTTCCTTCTTCTCCTCCAGGCTCAATTCCAACCCTGCACATAAATGAAGTTTGTTGTAAAAGTAATCAGTAATATCAAGGTCTTTGGATTGTACATAACTTTCCATCCGCTTCCAACGAGTAGCAAAACTGTCTTGTTGGATGAAGGTGTTGGTGAAGGCGGCTTCAAAATCGACTAACGTGTGCACGCCCTGCAGATCCTGGAACCATACGGCGGGTCCTCCAGCGAGATGCGTTCGCACAACCTCTAGCGCGTACGCGTCGTTCCACTGATGTAGTTGGCATTGGCGGCGTAGCGATGCCAACCACTCTGAGGCACTCGTCTTCGCGTCGAACGTCGTAAGTCCGGACTGTGCACCCGGTGCACTATGGTAGGTGGTGGCCGGTGGCGATGGGCGCTGCGCCATTGCCATCGACTGCATTAACGTATTGAACATTTGCATCACGCCGGCCAGGGTGGCGGCGTCCGTGCCAGGTTGTGGTGGCATCGGTTGTTGCGACGCACCAGCTTCGTTTCCATCATCGCCCATCGTGGATGTAGAACGTCTTTCGGCTTCTCGGGGATACTCGCGCGAATCGTCGTTGGCCGGGACGTTGGCCGTTACTCGTGCGTTCCGTTGTGCCCCCTTCGGCACGTGTTCTAACCTCCAAGATTTCCGTTGGCGCGGAAAAAACTAGGCTGCCTCGCGCAGGATGCTCTCAATAATGCTCAAGTCTCACGTCTTACCTGTTCATCCCACTTCTGAGATGTTAGGTGTGGCACTTGTGAGGGCAGGTGATAAAAGATAAGCATGAAACAATGAGCACTTGTAATTGTAAAAGAATGTTGAATAGCGTTTATTGAATAAGGCGTCTCTTAATCTGCGTCTGCTGCGCTCTGCTTGTACTTAGCTACTGCACCGGGCGCACGCAGTGCGCCGGTCTTGCGCGGGAAAAATAATGTAATGTATGTTGTGTTGTTGGTTGCCTACGTTACGCATTTCGCTAACAAATGGAATTAAAATATGTAAATACAGTTTGATTGATTTCATCATTTTTACTCAAGTCTTTGAACAAACCCAAGTTCTGGCGAAAAGACAATGATGACAGTCAAGTTAGTTTGGCCCTGTCATAGGGAGATATGTGACGAAAGCGAAACATCAGAAGTATACAATTTGAGATTGAATTAACAAAGAGGAACAAGTCGCAGCATGTGACGGATATAAATCATGTTCAGTCTAGGTAAATGAAATGATTATTCGCTGCTGCTGAGTTACTAAAAAGTTATAGGAAACAAAGTTGATTAAAATCTATCGGAATTGATTATTGTAATTTGTTGCGTCTACGAATAGTTAATTAATTTGACTCATACGAAATTACTTAAAACGATAAAAATCGAACAAAGGACTTCAACATTCATAAATGCAATTTTGTCCAGAAATTTTTAACGAATTTTCTATGTTTGTGCTCACTGTACTACTAAAATTAAGTTATAAATGCTCTGGTTTCGTATGATTTCAACATATTTGTATATATATAAAGCTCCGCAATTTCTATCGACCTATATACAAATAAAAATAACAATATGTACTTAATTCTTCGTATTATCACAGCTCGAAGTAAAATTGGTTTATACCGCTCCACATTCACGTTCCCTTTGCGATATCTCATATGCTATGCGATGATTGTTTATGTATGTATCTCAAAACTCTCACAACATAACAAATTTCAAATTCATATATACATTTGCAGCTGTCGATAACTCAGCGGCTCAAATTTGTGCTCAACGCTGATCGGTAGGAATCAACATTTTGTTTCATACGTACTGCGAGTCTAATTTTAAACATTCTCATATTACTTTGGTGGGTGACCTGCAGCACTTTTTGATGAGTGCAATTCTTAGGTCTTAATGCAAACGACTAAATTTCCTACAGCAACATAAACAATTTGCAACCGTGTCGCATATATATAAATTTCTATAAATCAGCTCTCATATAAAACGGCGCTTCAATCTTTGATTGTAGCGTATTGTTACCTAGATATTAATTAATTGCTTTGCAGTAATTGTCTGGAATGTTGATTTAAAATATCATGGAAATTAATTAATACTGGTTCCATTGACGATAATACTAGATTGGATAGTTTTTTGGAGACATTTTGCAGGCTCTCCTCGTATCAGGGAACCAACACCGAGGCCAGCCCGGGGAATATTTCGCCTTGGATCGGGCCGTACTCGACGTGCTCACCATCTACAGTCATGTAGCCCTTTTCGTGCATGTCAGGCTCAATGCGAAAGGCGCGAGTGGGCAGCATTTGGATAGCGTCCCCACAATCGGTATTCATGTGTGTGCCATCGCTGAGACCCAGAAGGAAATGAAATACTTGTGAGCGCGTAGCGTCTGCTTTGATGATCACCAGCCAGATGATGCCATCGTTGAGCTTGGCCTCTGGTACGAACAGACAGTCTTCGCCCAGATGGCTCGGATAAGACGCATGTACCATAATGAAGCGACCCTCCATGCACTGCCAGTTCGACGGCGGCGGCGCGTTCAGGCAAGGCAGTTGCGACGGTGGGCCGTACATTCGCACGTTGTTTTTGTGATTTTCATCAGGGCCGCTATCCGCAGTGGATTGATAACTGCTGTTCGTCGTCGCGGAGAAATACGCGCTGCGTTTCGAGGCGGCGCTGTACCAGGAATCGACGCGTTGACGGCCTGTTTGTGTCTCCAGGTTCATCTCGGTTGGTATTTCGATGTTGTCAGGTTTCTTGACGTCATGGGTATTGTGCACCGGGGTATTTGTGGCGGGTAGGTACCACACTCGGCCGCCATAGCTGCGTAAACCAATCAATCGCGCCAGACTCCAGATGGTAAAGCGTTGCCCACCAAGAATTCGCAGCTTCTCGCTTTCGATATCGATATCAGAGAGGAAACCCCAGCCCACGGAGAGGAAAGAGAACAGTATTTGCGAGGTGGTCTCCACTCGCACGAGATCCATTAAAGTACGGGTATTGCGGACAAGCGACAGCGCCGATGGTAGTGTTGTATTTGTCGTATATGGTTCGCCTACATTGTGAGCGATGCTACGTGCAAGACCATTGCCGGAACCGCCCGGTATCACACCTAGTGGAATTGTTCGCACAGCTTCTTCCCAATCGAAACGCTCGAAGAGGCCGTTGATTGCTTCGAAAATGATCCCATCACCTCCCACCTGAAAATTAAATTCATTTTACTATCACTAACAGGTAACAAACATACTCAATTGATAATTACATAGAATATTTAAGTAAATGATAACACACTTTCCATTTACATGAATTTGCATATTTCGGGCTTATTATATTTGAATTGCAAAGGATACAGCAAAGGGCATAGAGCGTTTCGTGTACAGGTAGGTTGATTGGATACAATAGTGCGAGGGAACAAAGTCGCAGGTGGCCTTCGGTAACTAAAGATAAACAAAAAATATGCCACGAGGTACTTGATATTCGTTTGTTGTCATTGGCAACGCTGAAATAGTATTTTTTACGCACTGGGGCGGAACGCACACCTCGAATAATACGATTTACGCACTATCGTAATAATTGTTATGCTCATGCTGTCATTTTGCTTTATCTTATTGTTTGACAAATATAAATTGACAAATTGAGAAGAGATGATTTAATTTTATGATGGTCATAAGCAAAGCAGCAAAAGTATAACTCAGGAAAGCATTTTACGAAGCCAGTAAAATATATATTACAAACAAACACAGCAAGTGAGAATTAGTAACACCTGGCTGTGATGGCGACAGAACCGCTCCCAATTTTAGGGACAGTGCCGGCAAAAGTTGTTTTTTGTAATTTTCCAATGTCCAAATTTGAGTTAAATGATCTGCTTGCTTAAATATTCGTGTATATATGAGTAGGATAAGCTGATAAAGCATTACATGCGGGAAATATTATCGCGTCATAAAAATTACTCGTATGTACCGAAATTACCTATAGAAAAAATAACTTCACTGCAAGTTTTTAACAAACGCAAATTATACCGGCGTTTAAAATTTCAACATTAACATGCACGACGGTATTCATATTTAATACCTAACATTTCAGTTTTGCGTGATTGCATTACTAAAAATCAAAATCAAAGCAAAAATAAAATCTGAAAATGTGCACTGAGTAAACCAAATATACTCGAATCTGTCTTTCGAACGGTTTGCGCTTATCTTATTATTCCCCGTCGAATATTTCTTATCACTTGTTCAAATAATCGTTGAACTCGCTACTCACATCACTGGTCAAAAAACAAAAACTTACAAAAAGTACGCTACGTAACAACACGACCGCGCTCGATACAATAACGGTACATGATAAATTATCAACGCTTTTTTAATGCAACCACCAAAAGCGTTAAATTTTCCGGGTTTTAAATCCATTGAAATTGAAATGCACGCATAAATTTAAAAGCATCGCAATCAAACGACCTTTGAATGAAAATGTGTTGTCCCCAAATAAGTAATGCCGATACATGGTTATTACAAACAATGATTGTCGACAATGCGTAGCGCTAATTATATATTGGACCCGGCTTAAGGCTGGCAATTAATAAGTGAAATATCCTTGGTTCGAATTGGCGCTCGCATGAGAAACGCGTGCAATTCGCGTATTAAAAACACTCATATCTCTCGTATCGTTGTGTGTTTGTGTCTGTCTTAATTACACACTATACTTGCATGTATCGACAAACAAGTTTTATGCTTTACTTGTCGGTTTCGTTTGGGTGAAAGTTACCCAATGCGCGATGTAACTCACATTACTTTATTATCGTTTGCTTGCAAATGCGTTATTTAAACGCAGACGATGTCATAAACATACAGTTTCGTTTGTTTTCGACTATTACACTCGCGCACTGTAAAGTTGGCACTAAGTTCATGTTATCATAAATTAATTATGGCTATTTGCTGACATAAAACGATTACGAGACAACTCAAATTACACTCAATCGACTTTTTCCTAGGCAATTTGAGGAGTACATAAATTATTGTTTTTTCAAACAGAGGTTGAAAAAAAAACACTAGAAGTTGTAAATTCCCATGTGGAAATCACGCAACCAACCGCAATATTTTTTTACAAACAATTGAATTCTTAAACAACAATAACAGGTACATACCAACACGATCGCGCTCCAGTTGAAAATATTCGACTGACGGACAAATTCACGCGCATAATTCGCATATTTCGTGATGTGTAAATCGTACGGGATCTCGGCTTCCAGCAGCACAGGCGCAATCTTCTGCAGGAATATCGAGCGTCCTTTACCGGGGCCGCTCTTTGGATTGCAAAGCACGAGTAGTTTTCGCTCGTCCTTGATTTTACAGCCGAATGAATTCAGGCTCGGATTGGGATTCTCACCACGAATAAGCATCTTGATCACCAGACGCCACTTTTGCGCTTCTTTGTTATTATCCTCGTATTTATCGAAGGAGCGAAACCGCAGCGTGATAATTGTGCGTTCGCGTTTCACGGGCACATCCTTGTTGTATTGCAGGATGTAGGCGTAGACATACAGATAGGCGCTTATATCGCTGTCGTCCTGCTCCCCGGAGTTCTCGTCGACGACGTTGAGTGAACTCCGCGGCAGTGACTGGCAGGAACAGGAGCGCTCCTTCTTGCTGCGCAAACATCTGCAGCCGATGATATCTTTGATCGGGATGACCGTCTCCTTCGTCTGCGTTTCGCTCTCCTTGACCAGGATCAATCCTTGCCGCGTGAGGCGCACTCGAAATGTCGAGTTTTTCTTCGTGAGCACGTAAAACGTTTCCTCGAGTATGATTCGATTCGGATTGGAGTCATTCAATTGTCGATGAATATCACTCATATTTGATTCTAGGTGGGTATGTTGGTTTTGATTCTCGTTTAGGATTATTTATTATTTACGCGTTGTGCTGGACTAGTGCTTCCGAGTGATGTTACCATGGATACTGGACCTCGACGGTCTCGTCGGAGCGCTAGGAGGTGGCGAGCGTGGCGATGAAGCGCGTTTGATTAATTTATCACAATCACAGGCGACATAACACTTGAATAAGCGGCGCTGTGGTGTTTAGTGCGAGCCGCGGCGATATTCCATCCCGACCGTGCGCTCGGGCGTACAAGCACGTAGTGATGTCGCATGTGATACACCTGTGCTCGACTGTGCAAGACCGACTGACGTTTACTGGCGTATTGCGGTCTGATCGCTTTGATACAGTTGCTATCAATGTTCTCGTCCAAACATTTCGAATGTGTTAGCATAGTGCGCTTTCAATCAACAACGAAAAAAAAAAACTCGATAAAGTTATGAAGCTTGTCGAATGGAGATAATTAAAGTCAGACGTTGATTCATGTGACAGCACTTAAAAAAAGCAGTTTGTATTGGTTTAGTTAGTTTCATTTATGTAGTATACTAGATACACGTATGTATTAACTGTAACAATACGTCAATGCGACTAATCATACAGTGCAATAAAGTTAACATCGTTTATACTACTTACTTCAATTTGCAGATAACGCATTATCTCTTTATATTAACATATCCATAAAGTTACTCATCGTAATACTATACTAACTTACTTGCGATTACGTCTTTCAGGTAAAATGTTCATGTTGATAAAATGAGTGGCCCGGTATTTCGGGAATAACTTAATTCTACATCTCTAATCTCTGCAACCCAATATACACGAACTGATCAAAACAGTTAAATCTGGTCGATTGCATCAATACAAATATCATCAATCAGAATATTATTTAAAGTGGTACGTATTTAATAAAGTACATTTAACTTTAAATCTATAATCGAAAGAATGTGAATCAGTTTTATTAAACGATATTTATTGCGTTTAAATTCCTATTAATTGTACCTAACCTCTTTGTCTAGTAATAGTTAAACATCCTTTAATATTCTGATTTTATCTGGTTTTGAAGGACAGAACAATGTCGTCAATCAATTTACCAATGGCTGTTTTGAAATCTCCCGGCGTTACTGAGGCTTTAACTTCGGACTCCACACTAGCAACTTTAAAGAACCAAACAAAGTTCCAGCAGAGCCTCACATCAAATGCTCAGCAAGCTGTAAATGAAATGCATCAGAACAGAATGAAGACTCTGAGGAAAGAGTTAGAATATTTAAAAGACACTGAGTGGAAATATGAACCAATTGAAAAATATATTGGACAGAATTATTGAGAATTAAATTGTGGAAGCATTAATGAAACTGGGAATTTACAGAAAAGTATTTACATCACAAACTAATAGCAGTGAAGCATTACTATCGAATTTGTTGGAATTTTCGGGTTTACTTTTGCTTTCACCCACATCCTGCTGGTAAAATTTATGTACACTATGTAATTACTATTTTAGGAAATAAATAAACCTAATATTTTTTAAATTATGATCACAATGTAAGAATAATCATTTAATTAATTCAGTTTTCAAATCCTAAAGCATATTATATGAATAATATGTAATAGAACAGTTTTGCCAATGTTTTAAATACTAACCTAAAAAACACTAATATTTAATGTTACTACAATACGCTTGCAGTAACGACACAACTATGGACAACAGATTGAATTATTAGCAGTTGAAAGGCCCAACTAACAATATTTCGATGGATCAGTGCGTTAAAACAACAAATCAAACCGCGATATGACAAGATATATGTGTAGCCAGATGGTACACGAGTTTGAACCGTTTGAACTCTTGCGGGAGGCGAAATCAACCATTTTGAATTGTTTGTTTTTGACAGCATGTGCGTAAACGCCGTAATTTCTCTCGGAGAGAACTCAGCCGCATCAATAGACTGCAGCAGTGAACATAATCGTGTTTTATAAAACGGTAGCAAATCAATGATAATCTTGATAAGACCGGTAAACAAATATTGATGTTTGTGTGTTGACTGCCTCAGTACGTCGCGTTTGTTTGCTGTCAAAGTAGATTGGAAGTAACACACATACACACACAGGCGCGCGCAGCCCACGTCCCCCACACGGATGTTGTAATGGTGTAATGCGTGCGCTGGTGTAAGTAGCAATGTGATGTGACCACGACATTTTAAAAATGGACGACAACGGGTGTTGGTGCGTTGTTTATAAACTTACTACGTGAAGATTCGCATCGTCGCGCGGCCCAGCGAGCCTGTCACGATGACTGATCGCAACGAAAAAGTACTCATCGAGTTGCAGAAGCAGCCCGGGAACAATGTGTGCGCGGATTGCTCCAGTCGAGGTGAGTTGCGAGCGCGGAGACGCAGATGATACTTGTTACTCGTGTATTGCCTCCTTAAATCGTTATTATTCTCACTTAAGTGCTTCTCAAGAACGCCTGATCAATTACTTGACAATGCCACAACGCAAAAGCATGTTGTTGTGTTATTCTTGCAATAAACTGAAAATGTAGTTATTGTTTACCAAGCTGGGTAAACAAATGCAAAGTTAAACTTTGTTTTGTTACAATTAAGGTTGTAATTGAGATCGTTTTATCGGAAACTATGCGTTCATACTTTAATTACTCACAGCTGCTGTATAGCTGGCTGCAATTGTGTATCATACCAGAGTCATTAATTAAGTGAATAATTGTAGACACAGAATGGGCTTCATATAACATTGGCATTTTCATATGCAAGAGATGCTGTGGAGTGCACCGAAGCATGGGTGCCCACATCAGCAAAGTAAAACATCTAAAACTGGACAGATGGGAGGATTCACAGGTTGATAGAATGAAGGAGGTTGGCAATTTGTATGCCAAACAGAAATATGAGGAACGTGTTCCACCCTATTACCGACGACCAAAAGAAAATGATCCACAGTGAGTGATTAATTCCTAAATATCACAATCACACAATTTAAATGCATGCACATATTATTTCAGAGTATTACTTGAGCAATGGATACGAGCAAAATACGATCGCGAAGAATTCTCGCATCCGGAGAGACTCGCGTACGCGAGTGGCACAATGGAAGGCTTCCTGATGAAGCGCGGAAAAGAAGATAGTCGCTTTCAGAACCGAAAGTTTGTCCTAAACGAGTCTGAGAACACCTTGAAATACTATGTTCGCGACAATGGCCAGCCGAAGGCAATTCTGCACGTGTCTGAGACAAACATAGTATTAGCACCGGAGAAGATCGGGTATCCGAACTCGTTGCAACTATCGTTCCTGAAAGACGGCACAACCAGACACATCTATTTGTATCATGAGAATCCCGAGGTGATTGTCAATTGGTACATGGCTATTCGGTGCGCCAAATTGCATCGGTTGCAACTTGCCTATCCTACCGCCATCGAGTCTGAGCTGGTCGAGCGTCTGGAGGACGACTTTGCAAAGGAGGGCTGGCTGTACAAGACTGGTCCGCGGCCTAGTGACGGCTACAAGAAGCGGTGGTTTACGCTAGATCATAGAAAACTGATGTATCACGACGAGCCACTAGACCCACATCCAAAGGGCGAAATATTTTTAGGTAGGTTTTTTCTAAACTACACGTATTGCACTAATTTATATGTTAATTAAAATTTCAGGACATTCACTTGATGGGTATGCAATTCGAATAGGAAGTTTAAGAGTGAAAGACCATCAGGGCTTCAATTTCACACTAACCACACCCGATCGCGTTTACAATTTATCAGCGCTGGCCGAAGACGACCGAGATCAATGGATTCAGGCGATCAAACACGTTTTAGATCAGCCCTTGACGCCCCAAGACTTCACGAGTAAGTTCAACCGCAAGCGATTTAGTAAAAGTAGCTTATTCTACTCGATATTTTCCCATCTCTTACCTTCATAGCACATCGCCTTGCTTGGTTTCCTTTATTGCATTCAGGTCCGGCACAATGAAGCCGTTATGAAATAATTTACTAGTGTGCCGGGCCTAGTACTTCTCACTTTAATCGTTCTTAATGCTTGCTCCAACTAACAATACTTTATTTTGACGCACTGCGCACCACGTGTGCTTTTCTGCTTGTAGAACAACTACTAGTTTTTATTTTGCACAGATTAGATAATAACGTATGTATATAATGCTTCCGTAATTTAAGTAATTTATTCTGCTTGCTTGCATTAGTGCACTGCTTGTGATTGCTTGCAATATGTGCGGGGAGTCATCGTTCCTGTGGCCGTTCTCTGTTGTCTAACCAACTTGTTAATGTTTTGCAGTATCTGCGAGATTAGTAAGAAAGCGAGCAAATACGAACTCAATTACAAACGCAATATTCTCACAACGGTAGTGTCTCTCAACATATCAAGCACGACAAAATAAAAAAAAAAAAACGCAAGAATTAAGCGCATAAATGCATTAAGGGTGTAAGAATTTAAAAAACAAACGAAAGTTACATGGAAATGTCATCATCACTTTGCCTAGTCTCTGTATTTATTGCAATCGATGATGAATGAAATAGTTCATAATTATAAAACACGGCAACTTTTTTAATACTCAAAACCTAATTTAATTATCATGTACTCTATGTACTGTATTATGATTATTAAATCATCATCTGATCGTGGTTGTCTTCATCAATGTAGTACATTAAGTGAAACGTTGTGTCCTGATTCATGTCTACAGCAATCCTTGCATCTCCCTCATAAACTGCATATATGCGTCGTCTTTGGTAACCTGGTTAATTGGCGGGTGATTTTGTTTGATCATCAAATCTTTCTGTTTCACCTCGTGTAACAATGCCCTCCTAGTGGGCATGGGTTTTTTATCATCACGTTTAACCCTCAGCGTGGAAGGCACAAATCGTGTCACGTCGGCGCTGAGGTTTCTTATCTGTGGCTTGGCGCTTATTGTTGCTCCCTGCTTGGCAGCCGGGTTGTCCGATCGATGAACGAGTTGTGGACCGGCTGATAGGACGTTAGGATTGGGTATCATACCCGAGTGCGGCATATTAGGTGGAGGTCCTGGTATTCGCAGCATTCTGGGCCCACCGCCCATGCCACCCATTCGAATTGGCATCCGTGGCGGTGGCAAACCCGGCGGGGGTCCGGGCGGCATTAATGGCCTTCCAGGTGGTGGACCCGGTGGCACTCTCATCGGGAATATCGTCGGTGGAGGTCCAATAAGTGATTTAATGTTCGGCATGACAGCTGCATCGGGAATCACCGACGGAGGAAGGACTGATATGGGAGCGTCGGGGATCTTCGACTCGTCTAATTTCTTTTGTGTGACTTGCTCCATTTCTTTCATGAAATCATCAACGTTTTGTCCGGATATGGCCACCATTTTTTGTTGGAGTGATGTGGGCTTTGATATTTCCTCATCAGCGTGTTCTTCTTCCGAGTCATATTCGTCTGAGAGATTGGCATCACTTTGATCTTGTATCCTTTCAACAACTTCACCATCACTGTCAATTTCTGGTGGTGGGCCAGGTGGACAGCCTGGTGGATCCATTATTGGCTGGCCTAGTGCTTGCAGCTTGAGAGCTGTTGCAATTGAATAAATTGTGTGCTCTTGCTTTTTTATTTCTGATGGCAAGGGAATTTGCAGCGATGGTGGTGGTGCTGGTTGTTGTGGCAGTTGTGGTAAGGGAATTTCATCCACAGTGACCTGCTGAGCATGCTTTACTGACTCATAGAAACTGACTATCTGATTTCTTTTGTGTTCATAGTCCATTTGTCGCCTTTTAAGATCATTATATTTATCTGGATCATCTTTACCCTGCAAATTCAATCATCTCATGTTCATATATGACCATTCTGTTATAACTTATTGATACTTACATACATACTAAGTACTCTTTCTAGTGTCTCTCTTAATTTTTTCCGTTTGTCTTTCAGCACCTTTTCATTAAGTGGTGAGGGTTGTGCAACATTATATTCTGTAAGAGTGTGAAATCAATTTTATTGGGAATTAATAAAAAATTATTAGATTCTATACCCATTTGGTCAATTTTCTCAAGTTCCTCAATGAGTTGGTGTGGATCTTTGCCTTTTAAGACAGCAGCTCTAACAAGTTGCCTTTGTTTTTTATTTTTCTTTAGCTCTTGTTTTCTCGCCTCCTTACCTATATTTCAATACAATAAATTAGTTAAATATGCATTTAGTAATTAGGTAGTGTGTTTGAGTAACTTACGAGCTTGGTCAGTTGGATTCATGTATTTACCACTCTTGGTGGTGTTTATCGAACGTCGCCCCATTTTTGAATTATTGAACAATATTATTAAAATCAAATTAAATTAAATTTATAAAGCCTTTGGGCTTTAATTCATTTTTAAATCTGATCAACAAATGTACCAGTAGCACCCATTCAATCATTTAGGTTAGAATCTGGTCTGCTTGTTGTCAAAATCTCAAGCTTGTTTGTGGTATATTGCCATCTGTTACGTGAATATAACACTAACTTAACCCAGGTAGTCGCGCAAGCCATAATCATGTTTGATGCGCCAAGCTTTTAATTCACCACACGTAAGAAATGAACGCTTAGAGATAAAGCTTTGGGTTAATTTCATTTATACGCATTTTATTCCTGTCCACGGCGAAACTCAACCACGCAGAAAAGTCTCGCGGAGAAACGTCTCGCGGCGAGCTGTCGTGTACCCTCCATTACATTCCACGTACGACTGGTTTTGTTTCACGTTTCACTTATGACTAAACGGAATAAACATTCCAACTTTCCAACTGCACTGCCAAACAATCAATTTCTCGTAAACCTGAGTTAAAGTAACTGCAAAGTTTAATCCAATATTGTGATATTTTATAATTGAAACTTTATGTGATAAAATTACAAACATGAGTGAGAAAAATCGAGGTTCCATCATGCAAGAGGTAAGTAACTAGTGATACAAACTTATTGCAAATAGCATTTAATACCATTCATTCATATTTCAGATTAGAAAAGTTGAAGAGGCAATCAGCGTTTGTTATGAACGTGTTTATCAACTGGAAGCCAAGATAAATAACAAAAATATTACCTCAGAAAGAAAAGAAAAGCTAATGCAAGAGCTTTCTGAAGTGGAAAAATTATTAGCAACTAATAAAACAATTCTAAAAAACATGAGAAAAAGTAATAGGACCACATTCATGGTAGCTGTTGGTATTGGACTGATTATATTTATTCTCTGGATGATTTTAGAACTAGTTTAAGTTTAAAATTTCAAGAAAAGAGTAATTTTTATATTTATATTTTCATAATTTAATACATAATAATTTATATTATAATTGTTAATATATTTTTGATACTAATTCTGCGAAAATTGAATTGCATTGAGTGCGGTTGAAATAATTTATTATTGATGCAAGATAGTATACCTTAAAAATTGTTGCTATCCTTCTGAATTTCTTCATCATCGTTATAAACATAAATAAAAGGATGTCGTTCGATTAGAACAATATCTTTTTCCAGCTGGAGCAGCTGGTTTTCCAATTCACGTTTGCGAGTTTTCTTTGGAATTGTATCTGTTAATATTGGCAAACCTTGATAGACACGTTGCAATTCATCCCAGTTTTTCTTCAAGCCCTGTTCAAACAGTATTATTGCTTCATTGTTTAAGTTTTTCAATAGTATACTCACTTCTAGTAATATCTTGCGTTCATCCCGGGTAATATAAGTACACTTTTGTTTGACAATTCCTTTTAACTCATTCTCAGCTTCAATCTCAGCCTGTCGTTGCTTTATCATTGCATCCAAATAGCGAGGAATTTTGGCGAAGATCTTATTCGACACTTGCTCCGGTTCCTTGGGTACAATTTTAAAGCCATGACTTTTCACATCCGTTATTTCTTTGCGAATTGGAACTTTCGGTTTCATCTCCAGCGCTTTCTTCACATTTTCGTGTACAAAATTTTTCTTATTGTGATGCAATTTGTGCATTTGTTCGTATACAGCGCAAACAGTCTTCGGTACTGCTTCCTTTTTTGGAAAATTAACCTTTCCTATTTCCCGATCTTTAGGATCGACAGCAAACACCTTGCCAGTGTGTTTCTTCAGAAAAGATTTTGGATCAGGCAAGGGTTGTTTCGGGCGTCCCATTATTCCAAACGCTTTTCGTTTACGTTTTTGTTTTTCAAGCTCTTGCAGAACAGTCTTCTTTAAATTTGTTGTAGAAGGTCGAGTGAAACGAGAATCCTGCAAGGCAACATCACCTTTTGTTGTTTTGTTGATGTCGTAGATTGTTTCATCATGATGACTGATTAGGACCACAGACATGATTAATACAGATTAGAAGTTGCTGAAAAAAATAAAGTCCTTTGACCTGTATATTGAAAAAAACAGAAATGTCAAGAATGAACGAAGGCAAAGATTACCATGACAATATTCAAACAAATTTTATTGATCAAGTTTACAAAACCCACCTCTAGTTACTTAGTTACCGTGCGCTATCAGTAATCATGGCGGCCGTCATGTTTATATTTGTCGCGGTCACGTGTGCCTGCACGTGTAATGATAAACTATCATAATACAATACATGCTAAACTGCGGAAAAGCCTATTAATTAACGGCGTTTGCTTGATTTTGGCCCGGCAAATTGACATTGCCTCACTTATCACCAACGGTATAACATATGGCGGCTTAACATCCATGAGAATAACAAACAAAAACTCGCTAAACTCATTATCGCACCAATTCGGGCGTATCGCACGACGCATAATCAAACGATGTTATGGAAAAATAAAAATTTCAGATTTCCATACATGGTTGACACGGAAAATCATAATGCAAATATTCATTTAGTCTTCTGATAAATTATCTAATTTGACATGAGAGTCGAAAAATCTATAAAAGCTCATCAATTCGCATCATGCTCTCATTTCATTGCATATATTCGAAATACAAGAAGCAAAAGATTCAACAATGAAAAACGAAAACAAGAAAGTGTTTACGAAAAAGAATACATATTCAAAATTACGTCGTTCGCGCGCCAATGCAAGAGAAAGAAATCGTATGCACGACTTAAATGCCGCAATGGATATTTTAAGAAAGTAAGTATTAATTTGATTAAATCGCTTGTATGCTGAAACTAATATGATTAAATTAATAGGCATATTCCGGTACAGAACGTCCAAACAGACTTGCACTCAGCACCGCAGAAACTTTCAAAAATTGAAACAATACGCCTCGCTTGCAATTACATATCGGCCATGTCACAAACACTACAAGAAGGAAAATCCATGGACACCGATCGTTACCTGCAAACTCTGAGCAAAGATCTGAGTCAAGCCACTGCTAATCTGTTGCTTAACTCTTTGGCAAACAATTCATCCTGCGCTGTGTCGGATTTGTACAATAGTTACTGGCTGCATCATGACTACGAACGCTTTGCCCAATGGAAAAGTTATCAGGAATCATACTACCAACAGTTTCATTTCAGTAATTTTAACAATAACTATAACATTAACTGTTATAACAATAATCCAGAATTCAACTATAATTGTGTATAAATTGAAAAATAAAATTATTTACAATACACGAACCTTTATCATCACACATTACTTAGGCAATCATCCTTACAAAATTGTTTAAATTCGAATGGTTGTTGTACTTTTCCAACTATAGTTTCCAGCGGTGAGTCACACATGGTGCAACTCAAGTTTTTACTAAACGCCACTGCCTCCTCAGCTACATAAGATCCGCATAAAGGACATTTTAACTTTGGGTATGTAATTTGCACCATTGAAAAAGAACATCTGCTGTCGGCATGCCGCGAAGGGCACGACAATCCAACGAATGGTTGCTCACAAATTTTGCATAGCATATCTTCCTGCAAATTTAAGCCAGTGCATTCATGCAACAACTTTATAATTACATTTACATAATTTTTCTTGAGATTATGCACATGCAAAAAGTCTGATATCACAATATCTTTCAAATGCGTATAGCAAATATGGCCGACTTCCTGTTTGTAGACAGAAACAGCCCCCTTGGATTTCAATTCTTTGACAATCTCACCAAGTAAATACATACACAACTGTGTATATATCATCATGGTTATATCCGATGCTTGCTTAATATTGTATTGGGTGATTGAGTCGACTTGATTCGAAACTATTTCCGATATTTTCGCAATGCATAGATACTTTTTAAGCTCTGCTAGTGTTAAATTGTCGTAATCCATATCTGCCGGAAATTCGTTTCCAATTATTACTTTATTCTCAACGGATCTAATTCTGAAAATATTTCGTTAATATTTAATGTAATCAAAATAATTATGTTATAGGCAATTAACACGTACTTTAGCAGTTCTAATAAATCCAGTCCATCATAAATTCGATCCAACTTCATGAACGCTGACAGCGCTTGTGTCTCATTGTTAGAAAAGTTAAAAATCTTCATCATCAATGGTCCCTTGTAATGGTATCCTATATGTCGAGTAACTAGTGATAGAATAACATTGTTTTTACTAAGCGCAAAACCTAGGAGTATATTCTTCGCCCAATCCATGTCCAAATATATTTGCCGCTTTTCAAACTTCAGCTTGTTTTCAATTATTGACGTTTTAATTTCAATTATGGCACCAGTGACTGCAGATAAAATTATTGAACCACCTAATGTCTTTTGGAATCCTTAAAAACATTGCTATTAAAATGATTACTTTTCAAATATATATTTATAAAAAATTAGAGAATCTTTAAATTAGTAATGTAAAAGTTAGGTTACAAAGTCGCTTGGATTTAGGTTATATACTAGGTAAGGGAATTTAACCTTTCTTGCAACGACACTTATATTTATAACATATTTAAAATGTGTTCACATACCAGTGATGTTTAGATTTGAGCAGTTATAATCCATTCTTTGGCATATTTCACCATCCTTATTCAAAGAAAATATTAAAACATGAGATTGTTGAACAATATAAATAATGAAGTAATTGTCTTTGACTTCTGCATCAATATATTCAACTGATATATCTGTTGAATCGGTTAAAATAATTGCTTCGCCATTTTTACAATAATTTGGAATTAAATTTTGCATTGAAACAACTATTGATTTGCCACTCTTGTCGCCAATGATTAATAATCCTGTAATTATTCACCAGATTATCAAGAATAAGCAATAAATAATATATTAAATTGCATTACCTGAGTTTCCATTTAATGAATGCCAAGACAATTGAGTAATATTTTTCATATTTGATTGATATTCATACATAAAGAATAATGTTATATTTTCGTAATCTTCTACAGGACTCTGTTTTAATTGCCAAAATACAATATTACCATCAGCATAGGCAACAATTAAGCAACAATACTCTAATGTTTCACTATTGTCCTTTTTGTCATGAACTCGTTTTGTATCCTTTAGCATATGAGTCCAACACACAGCTGAAAATAAAATTTTAATTTGTCTTTAACACATGTATTAAAAGAATGAAATTATTCACCTGTTGCTGAATGCATTGCCAATCTATGCATTAGTTCTTCCTGTGACTCTTCAGCTGATTTGTCAGTCAAACCCTTCCATCTGTACTTAAATTTCTTGATATGTAAGTCATTTACATTCAGAATACGCTCAAACTTGGTCAAACCAATAATATGACAAATTTTAGCATAAATATCTACTGAGGATGCATCAGTGATAGTTGCAACAACACATTCTTCACCTATCAATTCTCTTGGACCTAAGCTAAATTTGCTCATATAGAAGTTTTTCTTTTTAAGGTGAGGTAAACTTCCAGAAATATTGTTTTGAAGCAGACAATTATACAAACAATCTTGAGGCAAATCATAAATATATCCAGTCAGATCAATTTCAAGGTGATCCATTAGCATATATGTGGATGGTTTAATTAATAATTTGTAGTGATTAACACCATTTCCTTCTTGGCTCAAGTCTGGATGCACCTTCATAAGTAAGACTCCTTCATTTGTTGATATTGCTGTGAGATGTTCACTTATTTGCACACAAAACTTTGATAACGGTTCAAAATTATACTCATAAAAATCAATAAACTTCAAATTACCAATCATTTTGATTTAGTATCTTGTACATTCAACTTTTAATTTATAATATGTTTATAAATCATACAACACAAAATTATTTATACTACTCATAAGGTTTCTGAAGAAAACAATTTGGTTATGTTATTAATTGTTTTCCATAGAATTCATCAAAATTCATGTTACATTTCACTATGCAGTCAACAAGAAAACAGAGTTTAATCTAATAACAAAAAAATTATTCATCACTTGGTATTAATTGCGATAGTTTTATTTTAATATTTTATAAGATTTGTTTAAATTTAAAAGAGGTTTGATGGTGCAAGCTGTCAATATTATTGCACAGTCTAATTTAATGCATTCGGAATTAAATTATTCAAATAATTTCATGTGTATCAATGGTATGAAGATTTGTTAAATGGTATATTTTAGATTGTATATCCTTCTCTTTATATTTTATTACGTAGAGCAAAGTATACTGTATATTTATCAATATTTATCAGTATATTGCGCAAAATACTGCATGCTTATGGTGTTGATGTGCAGGTAGAGACACACATAGATAGTAAAATTTGTAGAAATGAGACAAGCTGATGGCAGCGTGCGCACATTTACTATGAGTGTGTCACTGGACCATCCTCTTCGCACCAACAAGAAAAACTAACAAAAAATGTGAAAAATGTGAACGTCAGTTTGAGATATTTACAAGTCTATTTTTGATTGAATTTCTACTTTACATTATTCCAACGAAGTACATTCGGTGTTCGATACGTTCCAATATCCCTAAGGAAATGCTCTAGCATACGAATTATTCATAGAAACTCGTATTCATCGCGAAAATGGAGATAATATTTCATGAAAAGGTAATCCTAACCCACTTTCGTTTTGCCGTTTAGGGAAACATGATTTTACAAGTCATCTGTTGCAGCAAGAGGGTTCGCTATGCGCTCAGCACTGTCTAAATTCCTTACTCCAAGGCGCCTACTTCACACCTGTTGACCTGAGCACTCTGGCACTCAATCTTGATGAAGCTGAGAGATTACGTATGGCAGAGTGTGGTGAAGAAAGTGATGAGTATCGCCGATTTCTTGCACAGCCTTCAGGCAATATGGATGACAGTGGGTACTTCAGTGTGCAGGTAATCAGCAGTGCACTGCAGGTATGGAATCTGGAATTAGTGCCTTACTCCAGTACAGATCAACGTGTCAAGCATGTCTTCACAAATCCATGTCAAATGAATGCTTTCATTTGCAACTACAAAGATCACTGGTTCACCATTCGCAAGTTGGGTCAGCAATGGTTCAACCTGAATTCTCTACTTGACAAACCGCAATTGATATCCGACACATATTTAAGCTGTTTTCTGGCACAATTAAAAAATGAAGGATATTCAATATTTGTTGTGTTTGGAACATTGCCTGATTGTGAAGCCGATAGAGTACTGAAGAGTGCACCGATTGTTGCAAGCGCACTCCAGCAACCACGCGATCAATCGCAGCGACTGCCATCAACAAGCTCATACGATGACGATCCGGACATGCAAGCCGCATTGCAACTGAGCCTGAATGAGGTTGATACACGTGACACCAGTGCCAATTTAAATAAAAGTAAGAACTTAAACAGTAGTGATGCAGATTTACAAAAAGCGATTCAGATGAGTTTAGAGGCTGGTACATTTGATGTCGATGTCGGTGTCGATATTGATGAGGATGAGGCTGCGTTAAAGAAGGCGATTCACATGAGCTTAGAATGTTAACTATTACACAATTATTGAATTGCACAATTATTAACAAATATGTGGACCTCACAACTATCATACAACTTAATACATTCGTTATTTGTTCAAGCTCAATGTTAATCTGTTTGCGGCCACATATTTTTGGAATCAAATGAAAAATTTAAAGTATACCAAGTGTGTAATATCATCACGTATACATTGCAGCTCTAGAACGCCGAGCTACTGATTGAATATTGAAAAATTTGATGATTGCCATCGAAGTTGCGATTTGAAAAAATGATTATCTTCAACATTATACAACACTACTTTTTTGTTTACATTCAAGTCGATATAAAATATTTAACTGTTTGTACTGCGTTTTAACTAATCTGCATTACTTGTCAATTAATGCTCCTGTTATCATTTCAATTCGTTTAATCTAGTGTTTAGTTTGTGCAAGTGAGTACACATGAAAATATTTTGTTTTGTGTTATGTGTGTTTTAAAATAAATTATATTTTTGTTATAATATTTGTTGAGTTTGTGGATTCCTGCCAGCATCGTCATATATCTTGTGTATGTTTAATTAACTAATTATACATTCCGGATGAGTTCATCAAGAATGTAGATGTACTAAAATGTGATAAGTCTAGCGATTAGGGGACAATGTTCAAACACAGATTAAGAAATCGTAAATATAGCATAAAAAGGAGTTGAATATGTAGCAAATTGCAAATTGGTTTTGTTTCAGTATTGCTGATTTTCACTTGTGTTTATTTGTGAACTACCTATGCTTATGTACCGTCAAATTGAAGTTGTTAAGGTATTCGTAAACACGAAGCCGTCTTATCACGTGCAATCAACACCAGACTCGTTACCTATATATTTGTTACAGAGTAATTGCAGATTTGGCAATAAGATGTGTTATGTTAGGGTAGTACGAATATTACTTACGTATTACTTATCAAAAAATATTTGTATTGTTTATTTAACTAAAGGTGGTGTTTTATTTGCAAATTAAGTGATTAATAAAGTTATGTATTTTATATTTTACGTACTTACAAGATGCCTACAATTTCACAGTTGAGGTTATGATAATTTAGCATTTAATTGACAGACGAATGACGTTAACCAGAATTATTTTTTATTTTTTGCATCACTTATGACTACGTAAACCACGTTTACGACCCAAACTGTGATATCACGGCTGAGATTAAGGTGCGCGTCATGTAGAGGGAGTAATATTATGTTTAATTAATTTAATACATATAAAGTTTCCTTAAATACATTTACATGTTCGGTACTTTTTTAAATACAAACGAAAAACTATTGGAATTACAACAGTAGCCAAAATTGTCACGTACGACATAGCAAAATTGATAAGATAAAAGGAGTGGATGCCGATATCTATGCATAAATACTGCCACATGTAACTAAATATTTCATTTCCACTTTGTTTGTAACCAGCCTGAACTCTCAAAAAGTGTAAAATAAACAATACTATACTCAAATGTAAGATTAATATTTACTTATTGTATAAAATTAAGCTGATATTAAATGAACTCAAATATTATTTTTTATATTTCAGTAAGTTCAATGAAAATGTACAACGAATACGTATCTAAAAAAAGTATTAGACCATGAAAAAGTGTAGTAATGGTGTATTGTGCAGAATAAAAGTTCGGTTGACTAAATTAGTGAACACGGTGCATTGAATTACATATTATGATAATTATCGTAACATTGACTTCCGGTAAACCTATTCAAACTAATCAAACGATAGTGAATGTGAGTGGAGAACAGTTGCAGGTTGTCTAAGCACGTTCCTGATGATGTGTCTTGGCATTTATACGCCAACCTAAACGTTTGTCTTACCAGAAACTAAATTTTCCAAGAACAGTTCGAAGTTTTAAGAAAGTTTCTTTTCGCGACCTTCATCGACAAGTGGTAACTTTCCCGTTAGGTATACAAAACGGGTAACCGGTACACTTTGGCGTACGTCAGTATATCTTACTCTTGTTCGCGCAGTCATTGAGTTATTGCGGTTGTGTCAACATCACCGGCTAATCGCTAATCAACCAAAGAAACACCGCCACTCAACTCAACATGATTAAATATAAAATAAACCACACAGTGACAGTGCATAGAGTGTACTATAAGATCAACCACCTGTGAAAATCTTGAGACAAATCATCTGAAGACATTTCCTCTGCGTTTGAAGGTTAGAGACGTACACAACAGCTGTGATCGCTTTAAATGGACATGTCTATAAAATTACGTATTAAATTGATATTATTGAACGGCTTAAACAAATGAATGTAGGTGTTTTAAGCGAGAACTGCAACGCTCGCGTAATCTATTAACAGATAACGTGAAACCATAAAAAGGTATGCGCATATATTCAATCACACTGGACGTGTTGAGGCATATTGAATGTATGATTAAACATTAGTTGGACGACAATTTTCCTGAGAGAATGCACTGTTGGGACTTGTATGGATCTTTACACGGAAAAGCGTGACCAGAAAATGACGCTTTCATGATTGTTACTATGCGTACAGAATCGATTCTACGCGATAAAAAGTGCATCGCTGTGGAATAGTGCTGGGAAGGAGCCTGCGACCACGAACAACAACGGCGACGACGGTGAACTTCGAGCGTAATTGTGATAAACACACTCACGTACACATCTGGCTGGACCTCACAACTTCTATATATTATAAGTCCACGACGGACGGTCCAGTCAGTTTACGCGCGGAGCGTCCGAGTAACGCTCGGGGAGATTTTCGACTTCAGATTCGAATTCGCGCGAGTTCACGATGCATACGACCAAAGCCTTCGTTTTCGTCCTGTTCGCTTTTCTCTTCGCTGCGCATAACGCCGGCGGAAAATCATTTAAGGCCGCCAACCCCTTCGAGAAAGCCGAAGTACAAGGGCTGTACTCACCTCAAGACGACGTGGAGATTCTAACGTCGCTCAATTTTAGGGAACGCGTATTTAATCAACCACATGCCTCCGTGGTGGAGTTCTACAACTCTTGGTGTGGATTCTGTCAGCGTTTTGCCCCATCATGGAAGGCACTAGCAACGGATACACTACCATGGAAGTCGATGGTTAGCGTGGGCGCTATTGATTGTTCCGACGATATGAATAGTCAATTGTGCCGTGAATTCGAAATTATGGGCTATCCGGCTCTACGCTATTTCCATGAGAACTACCGGACTGGTATCGGCCGTGTGATGCGCAAGGGTAATGATCTGGATGAGCTCAAATACGAGCTGATGAAAGAAATGGTATCCGAACAGCGTATAGGTAGAGGTTTGGTATACCCGAATTTGTTGCCGTACAGGCACAGCACCATCAACAACCTGTTTGAAGGATCCGACCCACGTGTCGTATACGCTTTTCTGGTTGTCGATGATGCTGCTACCATGTACGGTGCACACTTGGCGCTTGATTTCGCCAATGTGCCAGAGATCGTGATTAGGTATGCTGATTTCAATAGTAGCGACTTGATTCACAACTTGGGTATCAAAAAACTGCCGTATATGGTAGCGACGGAAAGAAGTGGTAAGATGGGCGTGTATTTGCACCTGAAGACCGTCGATGAATTAAGAAACGCGATCATCGAGTATGTGAAACCTACACTTAAGCTTCAATATAATAAGGGTGATGTGTTCCGCGGAAAGTGGATAGAGGTCGAGGTGCCAGACATAGCGACTTTAATGCGCGAAAAGGAAAAGCAAGCAATTCGGCAGAAAATTAAGGAAATGGGTGACGCAGTCTATCAGGTGGACTTGGAAACAGCGTTAAAACGCAGTTTGCTCAACGAGGTAGCCGCTCGGAAGGATATCTCCGGCGAGCGACTGTCAGCGTTACGCGGATTCGTTAACGTTATCCGCAAGTATTTCCCATTGGGACGCAATGGCCAAGTTTTCCTGATGGATCTCTTCAATTTGGTGAATTCACGCTCGGTGGTTCACGGTCAGGATATCGCGAATCTAGTGCACCTGAATGAGGGCGAGAATAAGTTCGTGTTCAGCTCTGAGCACAGCTGGATGGCCTGCGAGGGTTCCACGACTGCGAAACGTGGCTATCCATGCGGGTTATGGAAGCTTTTCCACTATCTAACAGTGCAGGCAGCGAATACTGCCGCTGATCCCAAAGAAGTGCTGTACGCGATGCACGGCTACATTAAGAACTTCTTCGGTTGCGAGGATTGCAGCAGACATTTCCAGCAAATGGCGAAGGAGCGGGACATTGATGGCGTGAGTTCGCTGAACGGGGCGATTCTGTGGCTTTGGTCTGCGCATAACGTGGTAAACAATCGGTTATCGGGCGACGCGACTGAGGATCCCGAGTATCCAAAGGTACAGTTCCCGACTCGCGAGAATTGCGCACGGTGTCGCGGCGCGGACGGTAAATGGAAGTATCCGGAAGTATTGCGTTATTTGAAAACGATGTACAGTCGTCACAATATTAAATATCTTGGTACGGATATGCGCTTGTTCCAACAGCACACGCCAGTTGATTCCAACGTATCTTCATCTGTTTTCGAACAGATAGATTCGAGTATGTGTTTCATTCTATACGTATTTTCGTTCATTTTAATCATAATACTAATTAGAATGTTTTTAAAGCGAGGCTATAGAAAAAAGATGTACGCACACGATCTGCTCGGCAAGGTCTGAACAACGATAGGACACTTTAGGAAATCAATCAATATTAGGACGTCAACAATTCTGACGATTAGGGCCATTCAGAAAGACTACAGTCGAAGCAACGAGGACATCACAAAATTCAATAATCAAAATACAACAAATGTTTCCGATTATATTTTTAAGTGAAACAGGATATTAAAGCGACACATTCCAAAGACGGTTATCACGTGTAGTCAACGTTTATTTCTTTTAGTTATGCGTAATTTTTCATCGTACGTAAGGTTATTAATTAACGTAGTTATGTCGGACGTATCTTTTGACATATATAAAACCAATTGGGGCAATCGAAGTTTTGCATAATGCTTTAATGGTGCAGCATTTGGGACCAAGGACGATTGTTAACTGTAATCTGAGATAAAGTGCATCAGACAAATTGGTTGCGCGACGCTACAACTCTGATTTGCAATTATTATATTTAAAACTATGCGTGACATGATTTTTAATCACTTTTATTCAATCAAACAAACAAAATACAGTAGAATCATCATTCAGGCGGGGGGGAAGTAGTTAGTCTACATTATAATATTTATTATGACCTAAGAAAACGCTTGCGTTTGTTGCGCTCCGGAATCGTTCGCGTGTGTTTGGTGTAACATCAAAAAATACGACGCTTGCATTGTGTTATGTTCGGTTTATATCGAGCTTTTGCTTCTCGTAGACAACGGTACATGTAACATGGGCGAGAGTTAATAATACATCCACATTTAATGATAACACAAATCAACATAATAACAAAAAAATAAAAGATTCATCCGTACTAACACAATGTGAATCATTCAAACGAACATTGACTGGCCGCCGTTGATAGAAAAAATATACAAAGAAAACTGTAAATACATATATGCGTAACTTGGATGACGATAAAAATACCTTGTAGATAGTTATAGCATTATAATATTTTTATAAATATAAATATTTTTTTATAATTCACCTAGCTAAGAGCCATTCGCAAAACCGTTCGAGTTTTTGACGGACTAACAACCAGCTACAATTAAAAATAATGTTTTTGTGGGCCAAGCAGATATTTAAAATTTGAACGGAATTGAGTAATTAAATAATTCGAAGAAATACGGGTTTCATACTACTTGTTGATACCGCTAATCCCAGATTATAAATAGAATTCAATGAAAAAAGGTTGTTTCCGTTGTAATGTCACTGATAATGACATATCAACTAAACTACTGGATTTGTTCAAGTATAATTAAGTAATTGCGCATGAGAGTGGAATACGCTGAATTTAAACTTAAGCGCAACTAATAATAACGTATGCGTTGACATTGAGATTTCAATCATTCATCACATCTAAAACATAATATGGGCCTATTGTGCCTTCGTTTAAATTTACACTCATTTATTTACTGACGCGTGCGCTACAGAACTACTTTGGTCCGTTTGAGAAAAACACGTTAAATGCTTCTGAGTATGATGCAAACCGACAGGCCGTATTAAATCGGCTACAAAAAAAACATAATTTATTGCACCATAACGCCTATTTGAGTAAAAAATGTAGATCGGCCAATAAAAACGAAATCAAAAACAAAGAGATCCTTATCCCTCAAAAGATAATTAAAAAACGCACAATAAAATTTTGATTGCGTTAAACAATTCGAACAATATCGCGTATCGAATGAACTTTTTTCGTGCGATCTGAAAATACGAATATAAAGAGTGTTTACGTAATTCGACTGGGACTCTGCCGTAGCTTGGCTCATCAAGCAAATAAAATGTACGTTGTTAGTCCATCATCATAAGTAGAATTTTCATTAGATTGTACAGTATGACTGATCAGCAATGATTAAGCAGCATATACCGACTGAAAAAAAGTGTACCATTAGATTTTGTTGATCATTATTTTATACTACTTTGTAAACAAAAACTGGAAATCAACGTACCTTGGAGATTTCCACGCCTGTCATTGTTTTGACCAGCTCTGGCACCTTGGAGACGATGGTGAAGACTTCCTGGGTCAGTTTGGCCGCACCGACATCACCGTTACCGCTCGACACCATCGTAATCTTCTTGGTCTGTGATAGCGGAGCTGCTACTTCGGCGGCCACCTGATTCCGCGAAAACCGAGAAGATTTAATATATTAAATATTACACAAATAAAATAATTTACGAATGTTAACACTGATATATTAAGCTGTTGCTAACCTTAGGCAACACGTCCAAAATCATCTCCATCATGGCGGCGTCCTTGTATTCTTTGAACGCTTCCGCTTTCTTAGCCATTTGTTCCGCCTCCGCCTTGGCCTTAGCTTCAATAGCAAAAGCCATCGCTTGTCCCTGTAGTCGAATGGCTTCCGCCTCGGCTTCTGCCTCCAATTGTACTTTCTTATTATTTGCCTCGGCGATCTTTTCCAGCCTGTACTTTTCCGCCTCGGCGGGTCTTCGCACCGTGGCTTCCAACTCGCGTTCACGACGTGCTATTTCCTGATCCTGTACGGCAATCTCCTGAGTCCGCTCCACTACCTTAATCTGCATCTGTTCCTCCTTAATGCGTTGTTTCGTTTTAGCTGCCTGCAGCTCATACGCCATCTCGGCCTCAGCGTTCTTCGTCTGCACCTCCACGTCGTAGGCAGCTTTCTTTAGTTCAAAATCGCGGCGAGCCTTGGCGATATCAGTGTCGTTGAGGAACACCGATGCCATGCGCTGCTCCTCGGCGATAGCTTCCTTAATAGTCGCGTCACAACGCGCTTCGGCTTCACCGATGCGCGCGTCACGTTTCACTTCGGCCGTACGTGCCATTCCCAAACTTTTCAGGTAACCCTAGAGATAATCATTAATGATCGTGAGTTCAGCAAGCGGTGCATGTCTATCTAATCCGACGATACGGAATCTTTCGATTCGTCTATTTATACATATCACTCGAAAGAGAGAAGAACTCAAACATTGTTCAACACAATATAAGAAGCAACTGTGCTGAGAGTCAACGACTACACCAAATCAAACGAAAAGAAAACTTTGAAATGCTTATGTTTACGGGCATGCCACGCACGTCACACACGACTACTGAAGCTTTCCTAGAGTTTTGTCGACATAAACATACCTTAGCACCCTTTTTACGTAGCAAATAAAATCATGACATTGTAGTAGAATATAAATATGTATAATAAGAATGTAAAATGCATCAAACGTTTCCGTCTAGCTAGTATTTAGTTATGTTCTAATCATTCTTCTCAACGGCATACCTCATTGACCATTATTTTTAAATATGAATTCCATGAGCGCATGAATCTCCTCTCAAAACTAAAACTTACCTCTTCGTCGCGGATATCCTTCAACGTGTATGAAACGACTGTAATTCCCATGTTGACTAGATCAGATGAGGCCACTTCGAAGACTTGTTTGCTGAACTTCTTGCGATCTTTGTAAATTTCCTCAACCGTCATCGAGCCCATTATAGCACGCTGGTGACCTTCTAGGGTCACAAGTGCAATGTGCTGGATCTCCGACTCTGTTTTGCCTAAGAATTGCTCGCAGGCCGCGAGGAGCATTTCTTCGTTTTGTCCTTGAATTTTTACCTAAAACCAATCCAAAGTATTATTATAAGAAATAAACTTTTCATTTTTAACAGTTTACGTGGCCGTATTCCATAATAACTGAATTTAGAAATTCCATAATAACTGAATTTAGAAAATAATTTTCGGTTAAGTTCACACTTTTTTATAATGAAACAAAGTTATCCTTTGTTTTAATTTTAAGTTTGCTTACTTGTGCAATTCCTGTAACTGAAATTGGAACACCTTGACTTGTATATACAGTTGGTGAATCCACCTGAAGGGTCATTGTGTTTAGTGACAATCTAAAAAATATACCAATGAATTAATCAAAGATAAATAATATATTTTATTAGTAAAATACCTTTGGATTCGTTGTATTGAAGGCCATATGAATGCTCGTCCACCAGGTACTAAATGTGGTTTCGTGTAGCAACATCCTGTGTGGCATTAAGTGTAATATTAGTTAAAATTATTATGTTGAGAATTATTATGCTATTTTTGATCAAGTGGATAAATATTCGTCCCTAAAGTTCGTTCATTGATTTTTATTCGATGACTTAGTCCGTGTAAATAACAACAAAGTAACAAAGAAAAATTACAATCAATAGTTCTATAAATAGTTTTGTTGTTATTCAAGTTTACACAATACATACGTCACAACTATAATGTACCATTATGAACCTGACGAGGCCATTTTTATTTATCAAATTGTTCGAATCGCAACAAATACGAAATTGTTCAACTTGAAAATGTGTTTTATACTTACTTTTCCAGCTTATTTCTGTTAATTCCTAAATAATATATGCTAATATAAAAATCAATAAACGAATAATCCATGATATTTTAGATCATGAATCTTTGGATACAAATAAATTGCAAAAATACTCATAACTAAATTAACGCTGTTGCTTCCAGGTATATTTTAAACTCCACGTGTTACTATAGGCAACCGCGGATCGTTTACAACCGCACTGAAGGTTGCATACGTAGCGCGGCAATAATGTTATTACCTTGACGACGTTGTTTACGCTTCTTGTTAACACGCAGAAAAGAAAAGACCCTTACCTGAAATGACCAGCGCCTCGTTCGGGCCACACGTGACAAATCCCCAAGTCATCCTCTTGCGTATTGCGTCTGCAGCAGGTGAATTCGCGTTCTAATTAAGCACTTTTTCGGCAGACGCCGACTGACAAGCACACTCCGCAACTACACCGATGCCACTACGCAACTACGGATCGGATCCTCCAATGAGAGACGAATATACGTGCCGGCGAGCCCATATTCGTCACGCGCGCTTCGGCAGTGCTTCGGGACTCTTGCAACACTGCAAGCAAGAGAAAGACAAACGCATTGAATAAATTGCAAGCGATTGCGCCTGCTCCGCTGGCAACCGACGCACCAGCGCCATGAAAGCTGAAACCATGAAACCCACTTCTGTCTGTTCCACTAATCGATAGGCTAAATGGCCGAGGCGCCAGCTTTACTGTTTACAGCACGGTTTACAGTGTTTACAGACGCTGCGTGGAATTGGCATACACAATACGCAAGAAACATACACGAATAGACATCGAGCGACGAGTATGCCTTGGGGGACCAAGTTGATTAAACGACAAACAATTCCAGACGAACATTAAAGAGGCGAAAGGTCTGCCGCTGAAAACAAGTGAAGTTTTTTCAGAGTTGTTAGATCATCATGACTGAAACTAGTGTTTCATTAGGTATATCCTGAATTAATTAATGGAATTTCACGTTTTTTGTACAAATTAGTCTCGGTAACTGAAAGTTTTTACTATATTTGCGTCCATAAAATTATATTTTATGTACTTAAGTAGTTTTTTGGGGTTTATTTGTCCATTATTTTGTTATGTTTACTTTTTTAGTTTTTGCCTGGAAGTTGACCTTGAAAATTCCTGTTTAGCCTCCAATTCGGATTCGGAGCGCATCGCGTGAATACAAAAATCGAGCAAATCACATGAACATCACTCGCTAATGAGACGACGGTAACAATAACAATATTAATTAAGCAACTCACAATCAATTCCGATATGATTTGAGATACTCGCTATAATTTATTATTATGTCTCGAGTTGACACTGGCCTGTATCTGCTGCATTGCTATATACCTACGTTGTCTTCGTACTGATACAGAGACAATTTAACAATTATATTCATAATGATTACCATGCATTGTAAGATTGGTTTTTCATATACAGCTTGTTTCATTATTTTATTGATATTCTGAATATTAATGTTTATTATTGTGGATTAATTCAATTTAATTTAAAACTATTTATTTTGATATTATTTTCAATATTATTAATGTTTATTTTGTTGAATGCATATAAAAACATGCGTATTATTTATTATTGTGATTGGGTTATGTAGGTAGGTATACATTGAGTTGATGCAAGCCAATCTGCAAGGATGAGATAGCGAAAAGCAAATCGAGTCGTCTTGCACCAAAGAGGTGAGTTTTTTTGTTGATTAATCTTGGCAATTGTTGCGATGTTGCGAAGGGCACACGAAGGTATGATCGTATGATGCCTTTGCGAGATTGAAGCTCACATTCTGTACTTCAAGCTTACTGAATAGCTTCAAGTTTCTTTTTTTGACTTAACCTAGACTGGCTGCTCTTGGAGGAAAAGATTGCCTGTGTATTGTAGGTTATTGATCAAATTGCATATTATACACGTATATAATACAATTCTTTATCATCGACCACAGAATGGTTTGGTTCCTGTGTAGCCACTAGACAGTCAGGAGCTATTAACGATGTGTAATGTCCCATGAACGACGTAGCAGCTTTTTAAATCCTGTTTAAGGGCATAATGTAGTCTACACACCGTCAAATAGGTTATTATGCACGAATTGAATACTGTACTTTATTACCTTCTACGCATAGTACCTAATATCAATTTATAGAAGAAAAATCATAAAATATGGAAAAATAAAAAATGGGAATGAAAATATTACTCACACTGTTGCAGTCTTTGGCCGAGAATTAAGGATTAGTCAAGGATCAATCGTTATTCAAAATTCAATTTAAATAATAATATGTATCGCAATATAATTAAGTTATTTTTGAATTTAATTTTTTCAGGCTCTAGATGAAATTTATTACGCCGCAAGTACATCGACATTCATCCCATTGTGCAATTAAAACGTATGCAAATTAAAGATATTAAATACTTTAATACATTTTCGGATTATCTCACAATTTATTACAAATCTTCCAATAAATTATATGCACAGTGTATTGTACAATCATGCATCCATGTTTGGAAAATTTTGCAAGAAGCATTTAAATCTTCCAATATAAAATGAAACGTATTGGTAGATTAAACGTAAACTTTGCAAGCTATTAATTCATTATGTGCCATTTTTTATGAAATAAAACAGTTTCATGAGTTCTTAAAATTCCACAGCGAGGCAAGTTGAACATCGATAAAGTTGACTATTTTGTGAGTAAATTTAAATTTTAAACAGAAAAAACTAAACAATTTACGAATGTTTCGTGATTTCATGTTTATTCGATAAAACAAAGCTGAAATAACAGTGTAGCGTTTCAATTTTTGCTTTGCAGTGTTTAATGGTTCAATAGCCAGCCAATTCTAACCAGTAAAAATACTGCAAACAATTGCAATGCGAAAAGAATACAGAATATGTGCGCTTAGAAGGCAACGAGATGGAATCATTGTGTAATTGATGAACCGAGTGATTTGCATATTCTCAGCTGCACATTCACAACGCGCGGTAATGTATAATAAAAGAAACAAAACGAAGCAGATATAATAAAATCATAATCGAGCCGCGGATGTGCCGCGCATAATTGAAATTGAAGCGGCCCGTTGAAGTTGAAGTTAAGCATCTGCGGTTGAGCTTTTAATTTCAAATTCATACCTGCCGAGTGATTCAGCATTCAAATGGCAATCTTTCGGTTGTGTGTAATGACAATGAAACGCAATTGAATGAATTGAATTTGTTTCACACTTTTATTTTTTACATTATTCCGTTTCGTTTTTATTCATATTTTGTTGTAATAGCATTTCACATCTTTTAAACTCTTCGAACTTTTTATTCACTTCCCGTACGTTGAGTTTTTAAGTATCATAATTAAATAATGCAGTAAGGCGTAATTTCGGCGCACTAACTTTCAATTATTTAAATTTTAGACGTTCATTGAACCATTCAATTGTATTTTAATATTTTTTAATATTCAATTTGCTTGCGAACTGCGCACATTTACATTTACAGTTTCAATTTTATTTTTTTCTGCTTGGATAATTATTTATATTACACATTTTTATAGGCTTTCACTGAAAATTCTTTTCATTTCAGTAATAAATTTATTTTTCAATTAATTGGAAAAACTATGCAAATAAAAATTAACTGCTCTAGTTACTCTTTAATCGTCTGAGTAAACTGATTCTTGTTTAAATTTATGACGGTATGAAGCTCTATGAAACGAAAACGATGCGATAAATATGCAAACGCGTATGGAATATTCAACGAATAACACATGCTATTCAAATTAATTAATTATTGTTTATCTTTTACTTTTCTTTGTCGGCTATCATAGCTCGGTTTTAATTTTCTGCATAACATGTTTATTCGAGCGAATTGATTTGCTGGAAATGCCTCAACGATTAGAAACTAGTCTTTTATATATAATATTTAAATATCTTGCTTATTTATTTTTATTTATTATTTAATTAATTTTAAGATAATGAGTCTGAAATTCACCAGAATATCAATTTTAATATATGATTCAGTGTTTAATTCGATTTGAACTAAAATAAAAAGGATTGTGTTATTGTTGATATATGCATTACTAAACTTTAATTTAAGTGCATGATATCATAATTATAATATCAAATGTGTGATTAATACGGTTATCAAACTATTTTGTTCCAACGTCAATGAGCAATGAGCAAATTCCTGTCTGTTAAATTTATGATTGTTAATTAGTATGCACAAGGCATGTGTTTGAAACATTACTTCTTGATTTTAACATTATATCTATTATATAAAAATGAATCACAAGATCTGTTGGTAAGCGGATAACTCAAGAACGCCTAGACCAATTTGGCCAATTCCTTTTTAAAATGTTCGTTAAAATCCAAGGATGGTTTTTACGGCGAGAAAAATTCGAATAATTGCCGGGGAAACCATAAAGACAACTCTTTTCTAAAAGATAAAAGTTGGCATTGAAATTCAATCATAATTATAGTTAAATAGTTGAATCTGAGATGGCGTGCTGAAGTGCATTATTAGCAATTCTTTATATAATTAATTTCTTTAAAATAAAATTGCGAATTTTATTGATAGAATTGACACATACTATGCCTAGAACAAGAGAGTAAAAACGAATTACATTTTTATTCAACAATACCGGGACGAAGTCGCGGACAAAAGCTAGTAGTATGTAGGTATATAAGTATGCACAAAAAAATTCAAAAAAATGGTTTTTTTTTTCAAATTTTCGCATATTATTATCACCAATAATGTTTTTCTGAATTTTTGATTGCCGTTGACACAAAGACAATGCAAGAAATATATAAAGTTAAGAAACAGCTTGTCCACACTCTGTTTAACACCAGAAAAAAATGCAAAAATCAAGTCAAATCTTATTTCTTTATTATTTGACAAAATAACGATTGCAATTTGTTGTGATGTGTAGAATCGTTTAAAATGAATAGTGCAGTATGAAATAAACTATTGCGAAGAGTATTAAATCAGAATCTTTCTCGAATAACATCTCATTTTTGTAAACATTCACGAATCGCTTGCAGGCAAATGAAGCGAACGAAGTTTTTCAAGAACATACGTTGAAATCCAGCGTAAATACCCCTATGACAGATAAATACACTTCAAAGAGTCAAAAGAGGAGGCCGAAGTTGTGCATCAAACAAACATGTTCTGCAAATGTTAGTGGAACGAAAAGAACGCACGGCAAAACCGGCGCGGCGTGGTATGGAAAAGAAACAAAATTAACTTGAAATTGCAGGCGTTATTCGGCCAGCCGAGCCACTCGGACACAAGATGGTTGCTGTGCAAGCAATATTAGAAATGTTCATCGCTGGCAGCAATTTATGCCCGAATTACTTGGCCCATTCAATTATTTCACTTATTCTCAACTATGCACGCGGCCGACTAGTTAACAAATTATTATTTTGTGCGCAAAGGCGTTAACTGGCCGTTTGGAAGACGCAATTGGGTTTTTGCAATTTCCATTGCGGGCAGTAATTGCATCTCGACGAGTGGAAATGTGCATCAAATTTATCGTTATTAGCATGTTGATGGCACCGCTTAGCTGGGGTATTTGCACATATGCAGTAAATACCAATTGGCTATTTGAAATCGGACGAATTTATTTATTGCTGGATTATGGAAAACAGTATGCTGCAAATTTACTTTGTAAGCATGTTTAGTACACAAACTGTCAGTGGTCATATTTGGACGCGTGCGTTGTTTGAAATTTTTGAATATTTAAAAATGATAATTTGGAAAGTTTATTTAGTTTGATTGAAATAATAATTGCATACATTTCATAAGTACCTATACGGCATTTGGCGCGAATGCTAGAAAACATATACATATATTATGTACACATTCAGTGCATGAACGAATTAACATTCTACGCTGGCTAAATTGTTGAAATAGTTGTAGCTGCGTGTGGAATATCGGATTTTAAAATGAGCTTAAATGTCGGCAAAAACGCAATAACGAAAGTGAAAGACAAACGTTTATTTTCGAATTCATTACGGATTTACATTAATGTAATATTTGTAAGTGAATTACATACTTCTGTCGATGTTCGAAAGATATTATTAAAACAAAAATTGAAATTTCGTGATTATTGAATTGAAATACATTCTTATTAGATGTAATTTCATCATTCAAAATCATTAGTAATAGGTTGTAAATGAAGATGTAAATTTGGTTGCCTAATTTTTCACATGGAAAGCAAAAACTTGGAAAGCAAGAATTGGAATAAAGTTAGAATAAACTCATAGTTTTCACACTTTACATGCTATTTACTGTAAATTTGCATTATACAAATAATAATTAAAATAATATTAATTAATTATATCTTTAAATTTTTGTTTTTAACAATTTTTCTTATTTATTAGACTAAAATACGAAAATATCCGTTTTTCTTTTTCACGAAAATATAACTGTTCACCATGCTTCTCTTTAAATCACAACAGAAAGCTGAATAAGAACCGCGTCCGGAAAAACGGATCGATAATGGCCTAGATTCCCAGTTGCGCCCTGACCTACACCACCGGCGGCGGCGAGCCGCCAACGTTGCGCACTGTTCATTGTTACTGCGGAATACGAGCGGCGCAGAAAATTGTTTTCCTGCATCTATAGATTAAAACTTCACTCAAGACACAAGATGTTAATTAATTATTTTCGAAGCAAAACTTTAAGACCATAGATAAAATAAATAAAAATGTATTTTCTTCGTTGTACATACACATTACGAGTACATAGATAAATTTTAATGATTTTGAACTTTAACCTTATCTAGATCAACATTAACTTTATGCTAATGGCTGTTAAATATATAATGGAAATACAGCCCTTGTTTCCACGAATGTTATGAATAAAATTCATTCATAATAAAATAATATTTACTCAACAAACATTGCGAAATAAAAAGGTTGTAAATGTTTAGTAAATAATGCGTATCCCAAAAGTCGAATGACCTTAACCGATTCCCAATTGACTACTCCTATATGAGGATATCACGAAGCTCGTCAACTTCAGAACATCATGAATATTTCAGTCCCATTTAAACTTGCACCTCGCTTCGCCCAAGCGCTCCCGGAATGGAAAATAATTAATGTTTTTCGTTACCAATGACTGGAAAGAGTCGGGTTGAAGCGGCGCTAATTTATGAATTTTCCCACCGGCATCTTGCCAGACGCCAACGCAGCCAACCGTTAGGAAGTCAAGGGTACGACTTCCTAACGGAAAATACTCCTGACAACCTGACACGATATGGCCAGTATCCCATTCGCACCAAAACCGTGGGAGCTGACGGGCGGCTGAGTGTAGGCTGCGTGTATGTAGGTTGGTTGGTGGTGGTCCAGGATCGATAGTGGCGCAGAGCAGCGCCGCGAACGCACGCATTCTATATACCTACGCCACCCCCGCGGCGTATGCGCCAGCCGCCGCACATTAACACGTTGCCGTGTCCTTTCAACCACCCCGCCATCACATGCCTAAACAAGCCACGTGAAAACCTGTTCAAAATTCAGTTATTCAGTTATTCAATTTGGGTATTTTGAATTAATAAATCTGGGGATTTAAATTTCCGAAAAATATCAAAAATATGAAATGTTAAATGATAAAAATTGTTAATTATGCTAATTATTTCACATGCTAATTTATTTAGAAGAGAATAATTAAGAGCATGTAAAGATTTAATTGATTAAGAAAAGATCTTACAGGTAAATTGAATTTAATTATGAGAAATTGCCGTGATGATTAAAATTAATGTCTTGGAAAATGCGCTTGATTAATAAGTTAATTTTAAGGAAAAGTGAGGATAATCATGCTTAAACATGAAATAAATTGATTTAAAAATTAAATTTTACAATTTGCACAGATGTTGATGTGTATTGTCTTGCTGACAAGTTTGAATAAGACTTTGATAAGACTTTTCTCTTAGATTTTACGATATCCCCACACAAATTACCATTTCGCCGCAATCACATCCACAGTGCGCTTGCCGCTGCCGTTCGCTGCCGCTCCACAGTCGGGCGCGAATCTTCGTTCGGTCGCGCCGTGCCGCGACTCCCAGTCAGTGTTCGTCCGCACACGCCTCGCTCAAGCCGCTCAATTCGAATCGGGCCGTCGTCTCGGCCGGCGCAACGCGGCGCTACTTGGCTCTCGGCTGCTTCTTCCTTCGATCAAATGTAGTACGCACTAAATCAAACGCTCAAACGCATTAAACCCGATCGCACAAGACGACGTTCGCCAGCCACCTGCATCCACCAAGCGTGCGCGCGCGCGCGCTCGCGCCCCCGGTGCATCTTCATGGCATTGCGCGTCCTGCCTGCCACTACACAAACGGCGCGCGGCGTGAATTCGAGTGCTCGTCCGTAATTATCGCACCTGTGTCCGGTCGCATTTACGTTTTGCACCGAAGAAGAACATTTTTACCCGCGCGCGCTCAACGATCGATTGCGCGCATGGATTAAAATACGTTTTTTTATTTTTATCTCACTGATATTGCTACAATGTGCATTTAGTGAAGTGTGGAGGAAAGTGCGCGTATTGTGTTTTAGTTTGCATATCAATCTGGACCAATTTTCATCAAACAGTTACGTAAAGTTTCAGTGCCAAAAACATTGTTTTCGCTGATTGCACAAGAGTTTTCCATTTACACGTTTTTTGGGACGTCGTACTCTACGTGCGATGTTCGTATTTTCGATTGACAAGTCTTCGTAATAAAAGGTAAATATTTATTTCAAATGAGTTTTTATGCAACAAAACAAAACAAACAAAAAAAGGAGTTTTATCATTTTTCCAATTAAATTTAATTAAATTCGTGAGTACTTAGTCATTACCACAGCCACGAAACAGTATATGACATGTAAAATGTGAAAACTTTGAGTTTATCACAAGTTTATTCCAAATCTTGCTTTTCAAGTTCTTACTTTCCACGTGAACAAAATTAGGCAACCAAATTTACATATTAACCTATGCGAATGATGAAATTACATCTAATAACGATTTATCCGTTAATATTAAAATGATTGCACCGATATGTGCAATAGATTTTCTCAGTAAACCTCCACTAGACATATTTCTGATGGCAGGGATCTGTAGAAGATTAAACCCGGCCAGAATATGAATAAGCGCGTTGAAAGGGAAGCCTTGTGAATGGATGTCTTTTGCAAAGTCCATAAAGTGCCGGATTTACATATGAATGAAGCAGACTGACCACTGGGTATCTGGGTAACGTTTAATACCGCACAGACGTTTCACCTGCCATGCAAATTTACTGCACGCCGATCATAAAACGCTAAACAATTTATCAGAAATGAATGATTAATGCATTCATGAGTAATCAGCAGATGATTGTATGTTGATAGTGAACGTTTGCTAATCAAACTTTCGCATATTAATTTCACTGCAGCCATGCAGTCATTATTTGTTTGAATTATTTATACTTAACCACATGACATCTTGTCGTTCATAGTGGAATGAAACACTGACTTACATTTACAGTCGGACAAGGTCAGTACCAGTACGGTCAATGCGTTTGCAGGTTCAATATTTAATATGCATCAATGTCTCGATATTATCTAGATATTGACCGTGTGGATATATTTTGCATGCAGAATAAATCATTTGTTATTCTGTTCGTGTTATTCATATTTTTTTCGCTGAAAAATATGTAATATCAAAATGAGTTGTGCGTGATGGACGGCGTGTTGCAACGCGATGCACACAAACAACGTCTGGCCGAAGAAGTACGGAGGAAGTGCTGTCAGGAAACCAGTAATTATGTAACCCTACAACAGGTTTCCAGAAAGACACCCTTGAACCGCTGTGTAAGACTTTGGATCATTTGTACTGCTCTGTTTCGTTTTTCTTTTTGAACTTCTTCTTCTTTTGGAGAGGCTTTTAACTGCTTGGGCGTATTGAAACAAAACAAGGTGGTTTTAATTTTATTTTAATAAGGTTAGCAACGGTATTTTAACGGTCAAAATTCTTTGTTTCTGAAATTTTAGGAAGAAAGACGTTTGTAGCCGAAAGATTGTTTTCAAAAACAAAAAAAAAAATGAATCAATAAATTTTATTCAATATTTAAAACTGATTAGTTTTGAACCAGTCTTTGAAAATCACTCAGTATTTTCCTAAATATTTCAGTTTTGTTGAAAATATATTCAACAACACACAATTAAATCAAAAGCAAATTTCAAAGTTTTCCTTGGTTTTAGAAATGAACCCATTCCCGAGAAACAAAAAAATAAAAGTGCTTGACTTTGAACTGATTCATTTTAGCCAACTGTATCAAAAAATAACTAAATTATTATTGATAATTTCTATATTTCTTTATTTCTTTATAGACTGGTTAAATTTTATATTGTTCTTATTTCACTTTTACCATGTGCATATTCAGTTTGTTTTGCATTGAAAAATAAAATAAATAAAAGTAATTTAAACATTTAACGTTAAACAATAAAATTGTTGATTACACATTGCCTTACAACAATTGCACTTGAGTAACAATCAAGTATAGAAAAAAAAAAGGTTTCAGCATTTCTGTAATTAACAAGCTATTGTTAATCACTGCATTATACGACTTGTAAGTTTTTTTTTTCTGTTTACGCAAGATTAAACCCACCACTAAAACCTCAAATTACTTTTGAAACTAATAACTCTTCATTCGCAATGCATAATAAATAGTAAATCTAATACCTACTCTGCACGAAAGTGTAATCGAATGTGCATTCAGCTCGTCACGAATCGTTTGATGCGGTTGCAATTTCACCAATAATCGTCCTGCACGTGGGCTTTGAATTAGATTAGAATTTAATTTTCGTCTCGATGTGTTTGTTTGTTTGCAATCGCAGTTGGTGTTTTCAATATCACGGTCATTAAATTCGTTGATTTAATGTCATGTTTTTCATGTCGGATGTAATGTACCTTGGATAACTCATGTTGTAATTAAAGTTTGCCAGAGTTTATTTATTTATTTCAATGAGAGTAGCAACAATGTGGTGAGTTTTCCACATGAAAGTTTTACTTTGTGAATTGATTAGCTGTGGAGTATATGTTGTATTCAGTGAACAGGAAAAGCGAAATGATATTACGAATATAAGGTGACAACTTTTGCCGCTTGAGAGGTGATTGAATGAGATTAATTTTGCACGCATTACACACAGAATTTTTGCTCATTTGTTGTTAAAGTTTCAGTTATGGAAGTTTTACTAATAGATGGCGCACCAAAGCGGCTATTACGCCATTCGAGTTTTTCTTATTTTGTCTTTTATCCTTTAAATGCTAGTCGTATTTTATAGGTTTAATGAAACCTAGTTGAAAACTATTTTATTTTTTATATTCAAAAATAATTTTGGATCAAATTTTATCAAAAATACCTGCTATCGATTGTTTCCAATTAAACTGGATCTGTATCCTTGGGAAATTAATTCACCATCACCATATAATCACCATATAATCGTTTTTCCGGTGGCAGGGCAAACCGCGCTCCAAAAATGTGTGAAAAATAATAAAACAAAATTTTTGCGCTTAAATTACGACAGAAAATTTAAAAGAAAACATAAATCTACTTTTGCACTCATAACAATCTTTGATTTCAGTGTAAAAATAAACACAACAAGGTCACGTTAAAAATATATTCACCCTTTCATCTTTCCACTTTGAAAAAAATCAATTTCTATTAGTTATGCTTCAGTTTATTATTTCATACATGTGTATTTACGTAAACGATTTGTTTATGGTTTTTGTGCGGCGATTTATAACGTTCCTAAAGCTGAGATAAAACGATGAAAGCCAAAAATACGCCTGATTAGAATTTATACCGCTGTAAACGGCGTTTACCTAGAGACCCAATTCATCACCTGTAACGATTTTCCATCGGAACCACTGCTCACCGACCGACTCGCTGCTGCGCTGCTTTTCACATTATCCATACAATTCCATACAATTCGACGCCGCTGCTGCAGCTTCACTATTATGCTAGATATTACCATTCACATACGAGCAGCATGCGTGATTCAAGCTCATAACTTACGGCTGTGTGCTGTTCAAACGTGTTTTCCCATCGATTAAATAATGAATAGGTACGTAACGATATGGGATAAAAATATTACGTACGTTGGTGCTAAATAAAGAAAAGTTCGTGGAGAATTTACGATAAATGCAAATTAATATCGATGAATGGCCACATGTTTAATACCTTTTTGATTACTATTACTATATCATATGTTATCATTGCATGAAATAAATTAGGTTTTTTTTATATAAAAAGACATAAAATATGTTTCAAATTTAGATCACCTGTTGAAACATTGCTGGAGGCGAACGTTCCTGCCAGGAGGTCTAAAAAGAACTTGGAAATGTACAGAAACCTAAATTAAAATATGATTAAGATATATTTTTAGGTTTAATTACATTTTAATGATCGTAAATCAAATATTTGCGTTTTTACAACTTTTGATTCAAAAGGTAGTGTTTAATAAAAATGTAATTCGTCTTTACCCTCTTGTTCTAGACATGTGTCCATTCTATCAATAAGATTCGCAATTTTATTTTAAAGAAATTAATTATATAAAGAATTGCTAGGATTCATTCATCTCGGATTCAACTATTTAACTATAACTATGATTGAATTTCAATGCCAACTTTTATCCTATAGAAAAGGACTGTCTTTAGGGTTTTCCCTGCAATTATTCAAATTTTTCTCGCCGTAAAAACCATCCTTGGACTTTAACGAACATGTTAAAAAAATAATTGGCCAAATTGGTTCAGGCATTGTTGAGTTATGCGCTTACCAACAGATTTTCGATTCATTTTTATATGTATGATATAAATATTTCTGCATTAATATACTTAAGTTTCATCGTATTAAATAGCATCGCAATTTTTATGTACGATTTCCTGTGCCCTGCACTTGTAGGTATGCCCTCTCGGTACACGTCCCATCGACTACTCACTCTTGTGTCGCGCCGGCTCTCGTTTGATCGGCGTCTCCCATGTTTCGTCTGAAGTTTTATTATGTATTCGATGCGCGTAATTGTGCGATCTCAAGTGCGACTCTTCGTCCTTTTGCCTCTTCTTGCATCCACGTCCACATACGATGCATAAAAAATGTTTATATTCCGACTCCGTCGTTACTACTTCATTACGAAGCACTTTTGCCGGCAATAAATGCCAGTTTTATTGGAGTACTCTTTCGAAAGCCAGCAAAAGGCGTCGTACGTTTACGCAACGTTTATGCCAAAGATTAAATTGTGACACCGTGTGCGCATCCGCCCTCTTGACAATGAAATATCGCATTAAAAATGAACAAAAATTCCATTTCACATGCCGGGTATGAGTTATCATAGTCTCGATCAATTTATGTATTTGTGTTTTTATGTCTGTGGGTGACGCTGCGACTTGGCGATGACAATTAGACATAAACTAGTCGGCATATAACATATACTCCTCCTACTCGTGTGAGTTATGCTGGGAAACTTGTGCGTAGAGTGTGGATTTTTAGAGAAGATGAGAATTTAAGTAATTTACAGTTAAATTAGGGAAATTAAAATATAGGTGTATTTATTGCCTTGACCCATAATTTGTGTGTTGTGAGTTAGCGACAATAGTAGTGACGTATGGCGACGATTATTATAGTCTACGATTACGAATGCACGTGCTACTTATTCGGAAAGTAAACAACGGATTTAGCTAATGTAAGCATAAGCGGTAACTATGTTAGA